GTTGGGCAGATATAACAAGGTCTCTGAAAGCCACAGTGCCCAAAATACGGAACTGCCTAAAAGTTACTTCTGCAGAATTGCTGGTAATGATATTGGCAAGCAGCAGCGCGTCTCCCGTAGCACAGCTGCAGGATCGCCGTCTTTCCTTCTCTTTCTGGAGCCTGGCTGTCAGCACTGCGTGTAGTGACGTCCTCAGGAAAGGAGATCTGTGACAATGCAAAGGGTTTTGTTGCCTCTGAAAATGAGTTCTCTGTCCTTAAATAAAACTAAACGAGTGTATGCTGACCAATAAGCTATAGACGTTTGTCCAGAAGAGGTAAATGAAATGCTTGATGCTTACAAATGCAAGTTTGGGAAAGCAAATAATTCTTTTTTTCCTTCTACACCACTCCCACCCCCTTTTATTCTCCCCTTCAGTTTGGTGTGCTGTTGTTCAAGTGTGTAAAGGAAAGCTTTGCTCCTTGAAGAGAACACCACTTCAATTTCATAAATCGGGAATTATTTCTGTTCAACTCACTTACTAAAAAAAAAACCTACTTTCGGGTGCCACTTACCAAACAACTGCATTCTTTGGAGTATGTTTTGCAAGTTGTTTGTTTTAATCAAATCTTTAAAGAAAATAAAACTAAGAAAAGCTGTCTGCAGTCAAAATACATGTACTGGTGGCAGACTTCTAGACTGCAAATTTATGTAGCACTGTAAATGTGGCTCCAGTATGGCATTGTGGTGGATAAAATTTAGGGCTGTTAGGAAATAAGCATGAAGAAAAAAACGGTTGAGACAGAGGTATGGAAAAAATAAAAAGATATGGCTGCCCAATCATAACAGGAAAAGGAAGAGGTGGAAAGTGACACGAGTGACTTATGTCTAGCAAATATTTTGGAGGCAAGTAGTTTGTTTCTGATCTGTTTTTCAGATTTCAGCTGTAGGACTGAACTCTTGATGTCATGTTTGACATCCTAAATATCAAGTGGAAAGCTTTGTGGTATTAATTTTATAAATAGACCTAGTACTCAAAAATAAACTTGGCGATAATCGGCTTTGTCTGTCTTAATTCAGGAATGGTCACTACATGTTTGCATAACTGGGAACTGTCATAGATAAAATTTAATCCTTTTGGGAGCTGATCTGTGAAGCAGCGTTTAAGTAACTAGTCACATACAGGATGTGTGCTTGTTCGTGTACTTGCCTTACATTGAAACCTTGCCGTGTGTTGGTTTAAGAGAAAGTTTGGTCTTTTTTTCACTGTAGTTTCTTGTTACGTGCTCCAATAGTCTCGTAGCCTTCTCGTAAATGGATGACTCCACTCATAAGTGGATTTTGCTGCCCTTCTTTTGAGTTCTTCCACCTGGTCAAGCCATGTAATAGCGTGCAGTGTGTTTTATAACGTTAAACAGGTAGATGGTGATCCCTGCTCTTCACATGAAGTACCTATACAACATCCGTGTAGTTCATTAGAAACAAAGCTAGTAATGCCATTGGTTTGTCTGGCTGCCATCAGTAGTCCCCGATACCCTAAAAAAAGCCTTATTTGTAGAGTAATGGTTGGCCACAGTAATTTCTTGTTTCATTTGCTTGCTTCATTTTCAGTTCAGCCCATCAATTTTAAACTCTTATCAGTGCTGTTTTGTGAGTTACCAAGTGGGTCTGTAGGGTTTTTGTTTGCTTCTTAAAGAGTTAGGGCCCAAATTGGGGAGTTAGGCCTCCCACACTGCCTCTCTTAGGGCATACAGAGTGCTCCCTGCCTCCTGGGGGCCGGCATGTAATGGCGGCTCCTGTCATAGAGCTGTTTGCTGTGTGCTTCATTGATGTCCTCAGCCACTGATGGCTGCCTTTCTGTGTACGGTGCTCCCATTCATGAACAATTCCAAAATGAACAGTTTTTGGTGTTTTGTTTGTTTTTTTGTTTTTTGTTTTTTTTTCTTTTTTTTTCAGCTTTAACCAAGCCAGCCTATGATGGCAAATAAAAACTTTTCTTTCTCAGCGCTTTTACAGAACTGAGATGATTTGGGCCTAACTTCAGAGCAAGACTTCAGCTATAAATGACATTGATCTAATTGAAAATCTCTGAATGTCCCTTTCCTGCCAGTGACTTCAGTGCTTTTCCAGGCAGGCTTTAATCTGTGTAATGTGTCCTGCGTCTACCTGCATCTGGCAGTTCGAATTTGGGTTCGTTCTAGAAAGTGGAGCATCTGTTTTGCTGTCGTACAAACCATATCCACTGAAAAGACAATCTTTTTGTGAAAATATAACCATTTTCACTTAGTAGAAAGAAGGTAGTTGTGATGATGTCTTAAAAATAACCTGCTTTTCTTTTTACACATACGCATTTCTGGGGGTTGACATATAATATGATTTATTTTCCTCGGGTGCATGCATCTTGTGTTAGTGAAACGTGGATAACGCTGGTGTGGGGAAACTCCTGTCTGTGGAACGTCAGGATCTGTCCTGAACGTACCTCATATAGGTGGTAAAAACACTTTGAGCCTAGTACGTGAATGAAAGCAATAATGCTAACACAGTTGTGCCGATGTGTGGCCTGCAGATCTCACCTGTCACCGTTTGCTCTTCCCAGGGCCTACAGCTGGCCTGGCAGCAGACAGCGCGCTGTTGTGCCAGGTTATTCACTTTTTTCTTTTTACATGCAACTGGCATGCTGGAGAGAAAGGCCACACTGTAAAAACAAAAGCACTTTAAGTTTCATTTCCATTTCCTGCTTGGTGACCCTGCCACCCCTCTCTGCTTGGGCGGGAGGGTTTAGGAAGGCCGAATCTCTTGTTTCCTCAGCATAAAGTATCTGCTCTTGTGGTGTCCTCTGCCCTCCATCCTCGGCAGAAGCAAGTCTCCTCTTCAGAAGAAATGTAATTTGGTTGTTTTGCACAGCCAAAGTTCTCTTTCTGATGGGAGCAGTAGCACAGCCGCTGTTGTGAGGTCTTCAAAATGTCGGTCATACAGCGAGCGATGCCTAGGTTCCTTTTTGCTTTTTTTTCAACTTGTGTGTATGGCTCTGGGCACCTGCCCGGCTGTGGCACAATCCAGCCTCCCCTAGGTGTTAGAGCCTGTCATCGCGTCCCTTCAAGAGCCGAAGCCATGGCACCAGAAGCGCCTCCTCCGAGCCTGGCCTCGCCTGGCTCTGAGGCGGCGGCGTGGTGGCTGTGGGGGCTCCGCCAGGTGCCTCCCAGCCCTGCCGCCCAGCTGCCTTGGCTTCCAGCATCGATCTCTGGAGCCAGCGGGGAGTGGAAGCGTAGGCTTACCCTTCTGCAAGAGATCGAAGGCAGCTCTTTAGCCTTGGGAAGTGCTGTCGAGCCTGGGCCTGGCTCCACGCATGCTGTTTCAGTCCTGGTTTTGATCCAGGCGCTTTCTGAGCTCCTTTGAAGCTTTCCTCTCAGTGAGCTGTCTTTGCTGCAGGTTTCTTTTGCATTCTGGAGAGTTCCCCTGTGCAGTTTGCCTTGCAGAATCCCAATAAGAGAGGGTGGCCAGGAAAGCTGATGTCTTAATACTGAAAGTTCAATTGAAAAAGCAAAACTAAAAGTACTTTGGTTCTGTAGCTACACATACCTTTTATCCAGCATGGAGTTGAGCAGATAATTTAAGCACTATGTTTTATAATACCATAGGCCCTCATAAACAGCAATCAGTAAAACATACCAGTGCTTTTAAAAGATCCTTTTGTTCATGCCTGCAGTTACTCTAAGTCATCTGGTACTAAAAATAAACATAACACACACAGCCTCAATGGCGTTCACCAGCCAGCATTTTACCACTGTAAGCTGTAGATCTGCTGCCACCACTTTGCAAGTCTAAATGTTTGCTGCTGCTGAAGTTGTGTGGCCACTGTACTACGTTTTCTGTACTTGGTTTTAGTGGTATGTGTTTTGGGTGGGCTATGAAAGCGCGTCTGATGGATCAATATTTTGTGTATGTAGTCTGTGCTGTGTAGGGACTATAACTGAAACAAAGTGATTCAGCTTTTCTACCAGACGGAGTTGGAACATGTCCATAAAATGCTTTTGCAGAACAGATAGAGGATTGCTTAGAGGAACGCTGTTTGCTCAGTGCATTGCCGCATGGAGGTGGGTTTTGTTTGAGCTCATCTGCCTCTTGTTTCTATTTTGAATTTGAGTTCTGAGGTGTACAGTAGGAAACCCTCTGGCACCTAAAGCAGGCCTGTGCTTCTTGAGGTGCGAAGTAGTTAATATTGCACATAAAGATCAGTATTATAGGGGTGGCGGTTGTGCTTCTCACTCTTTATAGTGTCATGTAGCGTTGTGGTGATCATGTTGTAACAGTCTTCAGTGCCTTGTGGACTTAATACTATTCCTTTTGTTTGCCATACCACCAGGTCATCTGCTAATGCAGTAAATACTGGAAAATGCTGATATATATGTGCTCACTTACGGATTTTTACCTGTTGGAAACAGGAAGCGTTTGATCTGATGATCAGTTATTTCTCCATAGATTGTGGTCATCTTCTGGCAGTTTGGTTGAATGTAGTCTGAAAAACGTGCTAGTGGAAGTGCAGAACTGAAGGCAAGAGACATCAAGGCATCATGTTTTAGTTTATGATTATTATTTTTTTTTGTCTGTAGTTGTTAGCTCAGCGGCTGTCGTTGAGTTTTCTTCAACCTCAGCCTTTGAGAACTTGGTGCTTCGATGCTCGGCCTTCACGGGCTTTTTGTTTGTTTGTTTTTTCCCAATTGCTTCCTTCGGTGTATTTACAGAAGTATGATTTTCTTTGGGGGAATTGTTTTCTATAGAATTCCCTGCCACGTGCCCAAATAGCTGTGGAGATACCTACTGCGATTTGACGCTGCAGTCTAAGAGAACTTACCTTCCCTCTGTGCTTAAAGGACTCTCACTGGTTGTTCTGATGTATTGTGGGGCAACAGTTGAACTAATTAATAAATATACTTCAAAAAGCAAAAGCCTCAAACCTCTAAGTTGCAGAATGGGATGCCTTAACTGTTAGTGACGTACCTTATCTTCTGTTTTATTTTTAGTTGCTCTTCTACAACGGGTGGCAGAATTGGAAAAGGTCAATGCAGAATTTCTGCGCACAAAGCAGCAACTCGAGCAAGAATTTAATCAAAAGAGAGCGAAATTTAAGGAGCTGTACTTGGCTAAGGAAGGTAAGTTCTCTATTTTCTGGATTGTTTGAAAGTTTAATTAAACTTTAGCTGTACATAAAGCCTATATGAAGAATAACCTTTGTAATGCCAACTACTGCTTCCCATTTGCACATGCACACCACAAATTTTTTTTTCCTCCGGTTAAGGATAATCCTAGTTAGGATTTAAGAGAATTTTCTTCCAATACTGGGATATTGGCTACATATCCATTATGAGATAACACATTGCTTTTGATTTGCCAAAAATGAAAAAGTAAGGTCTTAAACACTTATAGTAAGAATGTAAGAGATGAGCAGGGAGTAAAATTCAGTTGGTGGCTCTTTAGCTTACAGGAACAAATTTTTGGAATTAATTTAAAAATTTGGCTGCACAGACGGGAGTCAGCCGAGCAACTTGTTGTACATCCAGACACATCACCCCTGAATTTAATACTAACTCTAAAGTCAGTGTGCTCATTCTCTCTGAACAGCAGCTGAAGCAGAAAGATGTAGTCTAGATGATGTGCTTTTCATGCTTTGTGGCTAGCTTCTTTCATACAGTATTAATTTGTCTTACTTTTCAATCTGAGCTAGAATGTAAGCAAGAAAACATTGTAAAAATTTTAATACTAGCCAAGGGCATTTATTTCAATAGCACGCTGTAGGAAAATTTGAACCATATGAGCTCAAATATCCAATGAAGACTTGGAGAGTAGTGATAGTTGCTGTTCTGAGAGCCAAATTGGTTTACTTCTAATTCTGATGATTTTCTGTCCTTAACATATGAAAGCAAACCCAAAAAATAATGCATTAGGACTGCAGCTGCTTGTATTAGCTTATGAGAGCAGAAATACAACAGGCATAATGAAGATCAGATCATACAGAAGGCCTATTTCTTTGTGTTTCTAGCAGCTGGATGAAAGGAAATTTGAGATACAAGATGCTGCTGATGAGATCAGCAGTACTTCTCTCAGTACTTCTCTCTTTTCCAAACAGTCAAAAAATAGAAAATTATGATGGTTAAAAAAAACAACTTTCATATATACCAGAGTGAAAGGATACCAGAGAAGAATATACAAGCAATTACTTCTCCCCCTCCACCAAAGCTTTTTCCCCCTCTTTGTACTCTGAGACCCTTTCCTAAAAATACATGTGGGACAGTGGCAGGCTATCTTTAACACTGTCATTTAGGAACTAAATAACATAGATGCTATAGGATTTTGTGGTGGTGGTGGTTGTTGTTGTTTTAATTCAAGGATTAATGTCCTTTTTAGTACTCAATTAGCTTAGAGTTTCATATTCTTTTTCAAGTAGTAAGGTCTTGGGCACCAGGCTTGATTAATAGAGATAGCTTGTTGGTTTTGTATGCTGGCCAGATGTTTCTGCTAAAAGTTACTGCCGTTGAAATAGGCTACATGGGCATAAAACTATATTTTCTGTTAGTAGTTTTAGAATGAATTGTATAATATATAGCACTTAAAGCTTTTGAGGTTTCAGTTAATCTGAAGCAAGAGGATAATATGAAATTAGTTTAATCTCTGCTTCTGGTTGCAACAATTAGGGAAGTAGTGGACATTCAGTTGAATGCATCTCTTTTTCTAGTGGAAACAGGCACAATAAATAGCAAACTTGGCTGCTCAGTTTTCATATATGGGCTCCAGGTAGTGTTCACAGAGTGGACAGAACACTTTGTATTCTAGACTAGAAACAAATTTGGACCAAGTTGGTGCCAAAAATGGGGAAGAACTGTCTTCTCTGTTGGTTTTATCTTTTCCAAATTCATTACCAGAATGAATTAAATAATACTGAACTAATTAAAAGCACAGTTCACCTTCACAAGGCATGTTCATTCATAGGTTATAGCTACACTGTCTGATTTGTGGCTGCATCAGCAAAAAAAGAGTCACTTTTCAAGTAAAAGTCAAATAAAAGACAAGGGCAAATGAATTCAAGAAACAATGTTCCCCAAAGATACCTGCTAACATTTGTTCAGTTGTTATAGGTAGATGCTGTAATATCAGCGCTTCCCTCCCTGCCCTTGTTAGAGCACTGCTCTTTGTCATAGCAACTGTGGATACTTTTCAGATTGAATTTATTTTTAATCAAGCTAAATGGAAATAATAATACTTTTCAGAGGACCTGAAAAGACAAAATGCAGTGCTTCAAGCAGCCCAAGATGATCTGGGACAATTGCGGACACAGCTGATGGAAGCTCATGCTGAAATGGAGAACATCAAAGCTATAGCCACTGTCTCTGAGAATACAAAGCAGGAAGCTATCGATGAGGTGAAGAGACAGTGGCAAGAAGAAGTGGCCTCACTGCAAGCTGTAATGAAAGGTAACAACCTGACAAGCCACTGCCACTGAGATCAGACACCTCCTTGGCATGCATTCTGTGATTTATGTATGCTCTCGTACAGAATATGGAGAGTTGTTCTTCGTGTCTTGGCAAAACTGAGCTACAGAATGGGCAGATCAAGCATAATTTCTAGGCTTGGCAAAAGGAGCTTGGTTCTTCTTTTCTGGTAATATGGAGATAAAAGTTAGAAGGATTCATGGCAGTGGGAATTTCCACATGTATACAAAACATTTCTGAGGAACTAGGAATGTGATACTTCATCCTTCATGAAGATAAGTATAATACATGTGATTTGGCAAGACTGAAAACAGCTTTAGGCTGACAGCATGATTCTCTTCTCTCCTGTGTAAACACAGTTCTGCTGTCAGACATTTGTGTCCCTCCAATATCATCACATGGACTTTTCCCCAGGCTAGTTACTGCATGTGTTGCTGGTTTTCAGCTGTGGGTCTTCGTGTTTTGTTTTTTTTTTGTGTGTTTTTTTTTCTAGATGCTTCTGAGCTATTCTTTATTATCTTTGCATGTTGCAAAACTGTTCTAATTTCTGAGACAAACTATGTTCAAGGAATAAAATATAGGATGTAAACTGGGGACAGATTGTTGCCATAACTGGCTGTTTTCTTCAAGGTTCACAAACAAGATCATAATATCCTGAGTCTACAGTCTATAGTTGCATTTTAGAGTGAGGAAGTAGGATTTCAGTAGTTTGTCTGGATAATGTGCTGAAATGTGCAAAACATATTGCTAAATAGGATGTTAGATAGGTATGCTGTTTTGAAATTAGGGACTGTACAGTTTGGAGGGCTGGTTTGTTTGTATTCTAGCAATGGCCCAAACTGAAATGTAGTTTCTTAGTATCTTTTGCTTTTCTGGGGTAAGAGTCAAAGGGAAGAGAGGGGAAGGAAGACTTAACTGTTGTCCTACTTTTGGTCAACTATGATAAATCATTGGCTGGCTGGAGATGAAGTTCATAAAGCTCTGTTGTGTATCTTGCATTGAAAGTAAGTTTTGGAAATGCTGTTTTATAGAGACTGTTCGTGACTATGAGCTCCAGTATCATCACAGGTTGGAGCAGGAACGAGCTCAGTGGAATCAGTATCGAGAAAATGTGGAACGGGAAATAGCAGAGTTAAGAAGGCGTCTGTCTGAAGGTCAAGAGGAGGAAAATCTAGAAAATGAAATGAAAAAGGTATGTTGAGATCTAGCTCTTCAGTTACAGTTTCAAGATGTATTTGTGTTATGTGTGGGTTCATTCCTACACCCTGCTGTAATTCCCCATAAGTACACACAGCCCAGTTCTGCCAACTTTCAGCTCTTTGTTCATGGAAGTCGTCATGATCTTGCTTTTGAATCCACAGAGGTGTTGTATCTGATGATATATATTCAGTAAGATGGTTCAACTTGAGAAGATGGTAAGGTTTGGTTTTCAGTTGGTAAAAGCAAGAGGCCTTGTAAAGTCTTTTGTTGTTCTGTCAATTGAACTCAAGTAAAGCCTCCCTTAGATTTTTCTGGAGTGACTGCAGATTTGTAAAGCTTCCTTTACTTCCTGCACCTTTGTTTTTTCTCTCATATCTCATTACTACTGAGGTTTTTAATGGGCACTATTTCTAAAATGTCTTTGGCCTTTGTTATGAGGTTAGCCATCTTTGTGCAACACCATTCTGCTGTTTTCCTAGAAAATACTGAACCTTGATGCCATAAAACAATAGGCTTTTGTCCTGGTTTCAGTTAGGACAGAGCTAATTTTCCTCCTAGTAGATGGTGAAAGGTAATTGCCCTGGAGTTTGGAAAGGTTTTGTTGTTGTTCAAAGATCTGTGACTTTGAACATTTCCTGGAAATAAGTTGAGGTGCCTTGGAGTATGTTTGGATTTTCTTGTTGCATTTGAAAATTTAGTCTATATGCTCTCCTTCAGGTGGGAAGGAGAATGAACTGGTCCTGATAGATAGGTTTTGAATCTTTGTACACATCGTATTATTAACAACTCGTGTTTAAGTGAACCTGTCTTCTCAGCATGCTTACTGTAGTCTTTAAGGTATTCTAGGATCTTAAAATGTAATAAATAGTCCTGTGTTGGATGAAGAATAGTCTAACATCTGATAATGTGCAACGTCACTGCATTTCCATGTTTCTGCTTGCTGTCAGGAGAAGTGGAGTATTGAATATCACAAACATGCTAAATATGTTACCTAGTCCTACTGTATAGTAACAAGCAATCAGTATTACTGTTTCAAAATGGAATTTCCTTTCTAAAAACTATAAAAGAGATTCTCAAATATTGCTAGTTTTTGTTGAATGTTTGCTATTCAGTAACACTGTTCTTCATGTAGTCCTTGATTTATAAAGGTGGAAGTCTGAGTAAAGCCCATTTGACAGTGTTATATTTGCAGAACTACTGCTTCTGGATTTAAGACATCACCTTGTTTAGAGAAGGTTTTAGCCCTAATAGGGGAAAAAAGATTTTGATTTAACGCTGGAGGAATTTGATCAGTGTGGTGGGTCCCTTACCAACAAACCCAGAAAATGCAGAGCTCATAGTGTAAAAGTCCTATCAGTGCATTACCAACAAACTGCCAGTAACAACTTTCAGAAAATAATCTCTCCACTGAAAGTCTTCTGGTAACTAAAACCTCAGCAATTTCTCTTTTTTTTTTTTTTCCTAGCTGGCGTGGTGATCATATAACAGTTAGAGCTGCAAGTTGCTCAGGTGGCAGCTCACTGAGGCTCAGTAGCTTTGCTGTGAGCCAGTTAGCACTGAAAAGTTTGGGACAGCAGATAAATAATGATTTCAGCGGCACTTCTTCAAAGGTGGTATCAATGTTTCCTGTGATCCTGAAGGAAAAGGTGATTGGCTTATTAATCTGTGATTAATATGAGCTTGGAAAGGTTTATAAGCCTGTAGAGGAACATACACTTTATGTAATAAGAGGGGGAGGGGGAAAGCTGGTCTTCAGAGTGCAGCTTGAAATAATTGCTTAAACTGCTTTGCATGGGGCTTTTTAATCTTCTTTCTCATTAAACCCGTGAGGTTTTTCCTCAAGGAGACTAAGAATTAGATCAAAATCAGGAAAAGGACGTTCAATTTCACCTAATAACAAACAAGCAAATCCCAAGCCCCCCAAAAGCTGTGTTTGACTAGCAAAATAATGAATATTCATGCCACAGCAGTCAGTGAGGAAGGATGAATTTTCTCGATCGTTTGGGTGTACTGTTTGAATACTTGGAATCAATTCCTCATGCAAAATGGTATTGCCATCCAACGGGGAGGTATTTATCCTTTGTCCTTATAAGGATGAGGGATTATAAAGATGGATTTATTTTATGCTAAGGCATGAATTTATAAAGAGTTTCTTTAATAATTTCATCTTCAGCTCCAAGGAATCTCCAAACATCACAAAAATTTTAAAAATGTTGCTTTGTGTTGTAAATAGGCCCTATACCAGCATATAAAATACAACAGCTCTTAAAACCAGGAGAAAACAACACCATTGTCTAGCATTGACAATGTGAGGTGAGAAGAATGGACATTGCAGAGACAAGGTCACAAGTGTTGTGTTTCAGTCCAGGACATCAGCCTTGTTGGCTCTCTTGACTTGGTAATATCTCAGTTCAGCTGTGTTTACTTCAGTTATAAAATCCATTTTAAACAACAGAGAACCTATGAAATTCAATATTGCACCCACATACTTGATAAAGGTTATGCTTGTTGTCTGCATGATTTTCGCCTTAAGGAGATAAAGGGTAGATAACAAATGTTGCTCCAAATCCTGAAATCATCTCTTTGAATTTAACGCCTATTTATTCGGACGAATGTACAGATCTGATCTGTGTGCTATCAGGCTTGCAATGTGCTTGGTTTTCGTCACGGTTTGGGAGCGCTCAGGTCAGGTGGGTAATGTTTTGATAAAAGTCTAATTTGAGCTGTATTTACTAGGTTGTGACTGCCTTGCAGGCAGTCTCCAAGTCTTGTCTGCAAACCTGGAGTTTGGCATTCTTGAGCGTCTCCTTGTCAGAAAGAGCGTGTCTGGTGGAGCACAGGCTGTTGTCTGGAAGCAGCTGTTCTGCTTCTCCATGTAAATATATTTCAAGCTGCAAATTGCCGAATGTCTGGAGGAAACCTAGGTATTTTGTGATTTTTATGATAAAGCAACAGTTTCTAGGAAATCTCTGCTGAAAACTGTGTGCATGGTCTATAGATCTCCGTTCCCAACTCAGAAAAAGTAAATACCGTTCTGTAACAATAATGTGCCTACCTGGTGATTAATCTTTGAGAAAATGGATTATTGATTGATAAAAATCTCTCTTCCTGTTGCTTTGTGATCCCAGGTAGGTTCTTTCAGGTAGCACAGAAGCTGGAAGAGGTCTGTCCGTAGCAGCGTGTGCTTCCATTAGGCTCTCTGCTCAGCAGTGACTGGGCTCCTTCTGGAACATGGCTCGGTGGGGAGGCATCCTGCAGGCTGCCAAGCTTTGGCTAGTCCATTTTCCTCAGACCTCATCTTCCATCCAGGCAAGGGGCTGGTTTTGTCGTTGGAGCTGTGATGAATCTAAAGGCCATTCCTGGTACAGCTCTGTCACTCTGGGAGCAGCAGAAGTCCACAGAACAAGCAGGTGCTTTGTGTATCGAGTGAGTGAGAAGGAACAGACCTGTCCCAAAGTGTGCTTGTTGGGCAGGATAGGGGAGATAGGAAGGGGAGGGTAATTTGATTTCTGTGGCAGAAGTGGCCATAAAATCTGCCGTTCAATTCTGCTTTCATTGTTCGTGATAACACTGGAATAAATTTAGGTGAACTGTAAATATTAGTCCTGCTTTAAGGAGAGATTCTCAGATTGTCTGTGTATCTGTAGGGAGCAGTCAGGTATGCTACTTCCCTGAGATTTCTCCAGCTGAAAATGTTGGTTTTAGTAGCAGTAAAGCGCATGCAAGATCGCTGTGTTGAGCTGCCAGATGAATGATGCAATGTTCGGGGTGTTGGCTTGGGCTCCTTTTTTAGGGTGTTCTGTCTGTGGGGTCATCCTCGTGCTGTGGTCTGCAGATCCTCTGTGCCAGGCTGGGGGACAGGACAGCAGGCTGCTCTGGTTTGGGGAGGGGTTGAGGATTGGTTGCAGAGGCAGTTTGGGTTCTGGTTGGTTGGTTTTCATCAGGTGATGAATAAATACAAGGTGGTAATATGTGAAAACTAGGTCTGTGGCAGTCAATTTTGGAGGAAAAAGAAAAGGAAGTGCACATTTTAATGATGATACCTCTGGAGGAGACTGAATGGCTCCTTTTCACAGAGGCAACGTGATACTGTGACACCTCTTGCCACGTGACGGCATGGTTTATGAGACTGTTCAGTGACAGCTCCAAGTAGGTTAAACTCTGCGTGTGCTGTTGTTACATGGAGTAAAAAATAATGACATGGCATGTTTCATTCAAACCTGACTTTCAAAAGCATACTTACCAAGCAAGACTCCTATTGCTTAGCAGAGAGAGGCTGTTTGGAGTATTTATCTTAGTATCACACTGACCTTTTATGTGAATCCTTCCCCATATTTTTTAAGTAAATATTTCCAATATGATGCAAGGACAGTGTCAAACTTCATTAAGTACATTAAGTAAAAACTAGAGTACTTTTTCTATCACATGGAATTTGATACAATTTTGTCTTTCTAGTTACTTGCTGCTGAGCAGTCTGATCTTGTTTTAGGAGGATTTTCTGCCTGTTTCTCCAACTGGTTGGTTCCACCATGGACATGTTTGTTGCTTTATATTCAGCATTGAACAGTGTGAAATCAGACTGGTGACAAAATGTTCCTGTAGTTATCGTGAGTAATTAGGAAAAAGCTTATTCAACAGTCCTCAAAAAGTTGGGCTGTCTATGTGAGCCTGCTATAGGTAGCTTCAAGTGAAAGAATTGATGGAATAAATGAAATATTGAAAAAGAAAAATCTGTGAAGTTGAACTTCTGCTCCCATCTGTTCAAAAAATGTGACTGATGAGTTAGTTGCTGGCTGCTAGTGACGGGATATGTATGTTTGTGTGACACTGTCACATGTCCCCAGTATTGAATTCACTGGGTCAGGTGATGTCCCTTGCTTTTCCTCGCAGATTTTATTTGTGTGCCTTGGACAAACAAACCAGCAGTGACAAAATATAGCAGAAGTGAAAGAAACAGGAAGAAATTTAGTTTTGTTTTGCCTGTAGAATTTTATTTGTAGCTTTTTTGACCCCACAGGCCTGGTAACATTTGTATGATTGCTATGTATGCAATAGTGTTTTATGTATTCATTTTAATTCATCTCTAAAACATCAAAGCTTTCCATTGTCTGCTCTTCTTAAAAGCCTTATTTAGTATACAGTTGTCAATAAGCTTACCAGGAAATGAAAATCCAGTGAGTAGCCTCTGAAACCTACGTTCTAGTCTAGATTTAAAACAAGACATGAATATTTTTTTCTAGCAGTTACCACATTTGATCAGGCTGGGAGAAGTGTCATCCTTAGGAGGCTCTGCTTTAGGACACTGTTCTCTGCCCTCCCCCTGTCCCTTCCTGAACTCCTCCAGTAGAAGGCAGAGAAAAGCTGAGCGTTCTCAGCCTCCATACATAAAACCAACCCAAATCAGGTGGTTTAAATTTTTCCTGGCATGAAGAATTTTACTGCGGTGAATATTTGAGTCTCCTTTTTTTTCCTGAGTGTTCTGCTTGTGGAGTCTGTGGGAGCTGTCGCTCTCACTTTGAAAAGCTTTGCTGGATACATGAAAGGAAGCCTGCACACTGGATGCTATTTCTCATTTTAATTCTTGCTATTTTAACCTCGTTCTTTCTCTATTCCCCCTCATCAGTCTCCTCAATCTGTTGACCTGGCTTTGATCTTTGCAGAACTGTTTTCTTGAATATATCACGGGTTTTGATGGATGGTCTGTATGTGGTTTTGAAATACTCTAGTATGGTAACACCAAAAACGGATGCTGCATCAGTAGTAATTTTAAACTGAAGAATAATCTTCCAGAACAGAACAAAGCTGCACTATGTGTTAGTGTGCAGATCCTTTTCCTTTTAACTGCATAAGTAAGTAAATGAATGGTCAATCACTCACCATGAAGTTCTCGTGATACACTTTTTTTTTTTTTTTGTGAGCCATGTGGCAGCAGGCCACAGGACAGCTAGGCCTTTAGTAACAGAAAAGGATACACATTTTGAAATGCATGTGCCTCAAGATTTGAGAGTATTGAGATTTAAAAGCAGATAACTCGTGGCCCAAATCCGTAAGTGGATTCAAAATTTAGTTGCTTTTTCTGAAGGGAATAACATCTGCCTGTTGTCATAGAGGCGATAGCTGAACTAAATAAGGAGTATTAAGACAAGTGTTGAAAGTGGAAGTTTAGTCAGCAGTTTTTACTGTCATGGAAACTTCCTCCAAATGTCTCGCAAAATGGAAAAATTGTGGTGAAAACTATGATAATGTGTTATTCATAATTTATTGCATTAATTTCAGGCTCAGGAAGATGCTGAGAAGCTTCGTTCGGTTGTGATGCCTATGGAGAAAGAGATTGCAGCACTAAAAGAGAAATTGACAGAAGCTGAAGAAAAAATAAAGGAGTTAGAAGCATCAAAGGTGAGGAGGAATTGTAACTGTATCCTGATTTGTGTCTTGCATCCTACTAGTTTGATGCAGATAAATAATGGCAAATGTTGTAAGAGATAAAAAGGTATACTTTTCTACTGCTTTGCAGATAACATTTTTGACCTCTATACGTTTTTCCTATCTTTCTGTTTTCAGGGTTGTTTTATATTCGTGTGTCATCTCTGTTTAGATATAACTGCTAAAGTTCAGCTCTATTGAAAATGGAAAAAAAAAAAAGCTCTAGAAAAATAGCTGCTTTGCACCTCTCCGACAGCCTGGCCTTTAGATTACTGTCATGCTTAAAGCCCCCAAAAGATTTGCATTTGGCAGATTTTTTTTTTAATCTACTACCACCTAGCATCTGCTATATTTCATCTTCTAATCCTGGGCATAAAGCTGAGGCAATAGCACCAGAATTCTTGTATCTTAAGCTTTAAGCAAAGCTCAGATTCATAGAAAGGAATACCAGATCTTGCTGATAAAAAAAAAAAAAAAAATCAGTATGAGCAATTTCCCCAATGTGCCTGTATTCTTCAGAACCTGCACTGAGCTTTCTCATCAGCTGTGGTGGTAAATAATAGCTACATCACATTAAGATAGTTGCATATAATGTACTGTCTTATACAGGCATGAAAATGTCTTCTGTAACAAGTATTTCTATTTTTGAAGTCAAATAGGCTGAAACTGCAAAATAACCTACAATTTGGATGTTTCTAAAACATCCAAACACCTTCCTTGTGCTCTTCTGGATCATGTTCATTGAAAATCATCCCAGTAGGTGCTCAGCACCTTGAGGTCTGTCTTTGATTTGAGGAAGTGGTGTAATTCATTTAACACTATTAATTGTACTAGATTGATTGCGAGTCCATATAGAGATTTTTTTTTCTTCATAGATTCTTTATGCAAATTGCTTTATAGGTCACATTTTGAGACCGAAATGTTGCCTAGGAATAATAGTTCTCCAGGTAGTTCTGTTTGTTCTCTTGATGCAAATAATATTTTTCTTTTCATTGCCAAGGTGACAAAGTGGGAACTTTCTCTTTTCTTGCATGCTCTCAAAACATGAGCACAGTGCTCTACAGGATGAGTAAAATGCAAGCACATCTTCTGAAAAAAAAAAAAAAAAGAGAAAAATGAGTTTATCCGTGCTTATAGTTTATTGGGGTATTTTTTTTAAAAGAATTCTCCCTTTAAATGGTAATTCTTACAAAAAATCATTTAGGCCTTAATTCTTACCTGTGGTCAATTCAACTTCATTATTCCTTCAGTCTGAAGTTCCCAGTAATCCTGTTTCAAGCACCTTTTCACCCTAAACAGAGAGCATTGCTGTTTCGTATATAGCAAGGAGGGGTTTAAACATAGACATAGGAAGTTGTTAAAGTACTTTAATCTACAGTGCTATAAAAATACAAGGCATTTATTTGCATGATTTGTATTACGAGACTGGTGTGAGAACTGGCAGGTTGTGCAGAATGAGCAGTGCAGTTGGCTTTTCCATTGCTCGTGGTGAAATCCCTGAAGTCTGCTTTAAGTAACGGTATTTTTTCAGTGTCAGGTACTTAACTGGATTGGTGAAACAATGCTGCTTTTTTTTTTTTCCACTGTTCTGCCCTTCCCAATGGCTATTCTACAGATTTCTCCATTTCAAAGGCTTGCAGAGAGAAAACTTCTGTCCTAGGGCAGGAGAAGCTGTCCCCACCATTAATGGAAATTAGAAGTAGAAGGGCTTTGTTCAACTCTTGAGTCATTGCCTGTGGCTCCTCTACTGCATTGAGGAAGATGATGAACAACTCTGTAGTGAGTCAGGAACTGCCTGAAGGCTTTTGTTGCTTTTGATATAAAAACTCTGTGATTCCTGACTCAGAAAACCATAAAACCCTATAGGGCCATAAAGAGATCTTTCAGCCCACTCCCTGCTGCAAGATGGGATCTGTTTCTACATGCATCAAGTTTGGCAGATATTTATGTAGCCCTATCTTAAAAGGCTCTCACTGGAGGTTCTGCAGTCTCTGTGGGACATTCGTTTCAGTTTTTTGTTAGCCTTTTCTGTTTAAAAAAAAAAACAAAAACAAAAAAACTAACGTATTTCTTCAGTCTTTCTTGTTGTAATTGTTTTTCATCCCATCCAAACAGATTTTCCTTCCTCTTTAAAGCAGGCCTTCGTGGGTTTGAATGGTTGTTTTTTCTGCCCATTCCTAAGTTTTCTCTCTTCTGAGGTTTCGTCCAATCTTGCCTCATAGTCATATTTTCTGACTACTATCTTTACGCTATTTTGAATTGTCTCCACATCTTTCTTTGGGTGTGAAACCCCAAACCAGATGCAGGGTCAGCAGTGAATGCTTGCAGCCCAGAAAGCCAACCATATCCTGGGCTGCACCTCGAGCAGCACGGCCAGCAGTGCAAGGGAGGGGATTGTCTCCCTCTGCTCTGCTCTTGTGAGCCCCCACCTGGAGCCCTGCACCCAGCTCTGGGGCCACCAGCACAAGGAGGACAGGGAGCTGTTAGAGTCAGTCCAGGGGAGGCCATGAAAATGATCAAGGGGTTGGAGCACCTCTCCTATGAATACAGGCTGAGGGAGTTGGGGTTCTTCAGCCTGGAGAAGAGAAGAACGCTCTGGGGACACCTTGCAGCAGCCTCCGTGTACCTAAAGGGGGCCTACAAGAAAGCAGAGAGGGTCTTCTTACAAGGGTCTGTAGAGATAGGACAAGGGGTAATGGCTTTAAAGTGAAAGAGGGTAGATTTAGATTAGATATTAGGAGTAAATTCTTTACTCAGAGGGTGGTGAGGCACTGGCATAGGCTGCCCAGAGAAGCTGTGGATGCCCGAGCTCTGGAAGTGCTCAAGGCCAGGCTGGATGGGGCTTTGGGCAACCTGCTCTAGTGAAGGTGTCCCTGACAGTGGTCAGAGGTTGGAACTAGATGATCTTTAACGTCCCTTCCAACCCAAACCACTGTATGATTCTCTGTGCTGTTTGCCTCTCTACCACTTCTCAGTGGGATCACCTCACTGTTGGGATCCATCTGTGGAAACTCTAATCAAGTCACTTAAATGTTTCATTTTGTGGAATTTTATAAGTAAATGATTTATTCAGAAAAAAAAAATGCTACTTGCATACTGATAGTTGAATACTTTTGATTTCTAGGAATAAACTGCTGTCTTCAGCAGCTGTATGTTACTGAAACAGGTGACACGATGACTTCTAACAAAAAGGAAATGCCTGAGAGTGTTGCTTCACTGAGATGGTGGATTTCCCTCTTTTTATTCAGGTTAAAGAACTGAACCATTATTTGGAAGCTGAGAAGTCATGTAGGACTGACTTAGAGATGTACGTGGCTGTTCTCAACACACAAAAATCAGTACTGCAAGAAGATGCAGAAAAGCTGCGGAAAGAACTGCACGAAGGTACCTATGTGCTGATAATCCTTTTGACTCTTCTATGTAAGGATGTTACACAAAACAAAATAAACAGTATAGCTGTTACTTCTCTTCTGATCTTGTATCTGAGTTGTATTTGGGGGAAAAAAAATGGGATGGAGAGGAAGCAGTGTGTTTATATGTGAAAGCCCCTGAAATGTTTATAAAAGAGTTGACTTTGGAGACCTCTTATGATGGAGAGAAATAATATCCACTCAGTCGCTCTGGGGATGCTGTTATGCAGTTGAATTTGTGTTAGATTCTCATAGTATTGCAAGCTTCATTCTTACTAAAGTGATTTTACTGGTGTCTTTTATTTGTGTAGAATTATGAGCATTATTTCCATAATGCAATAATCTATTGATACATCTCTCTGAGGTATGCCAATTCTGAACGCCTGGTGGTGGAATAGATGTGTGAATGTACGTCCATGGCAGTACAGCGCAGAGTCACTGTAGAGGAATGTAAAGCTGAACCTTCTGTTGAAATAAATAGGGGCTTAGAAGACAGTCTTTTAAAACCAGCACTAAAAAAAAGAAAGTATGAGAACTCATGAATGAAGTTAAGATAATAGTTTTCTAATTGGGAAATCTTGCATTTTCAGTGATACATTCCTAGTCTCAAGACAGCTTTAGGAATTAGGAATTTAGAAAATGTCTTATTTCTTTCTACATAGTTGTTGAACAAAGCTATGTTGACTTTGATTAGAACAATAATTACTTTTATTCATGAGAATGCCTTGTTTAAGAAGACAGGTTAAAAAAAAATGCTGGTTCAGAACAACTCTTTCTATTTTTGAATAGTCTGCCATCTCTTAGAGCAAGAGCGACAACAGCACAACCAGTTGAAACACACATGGCAGAAAGCCAATGACCAGTTCTTGGAGTCTCAGCGTTTGTTGATGAGAGACATGCAACGTATGGAAATTGTTCTGACCTCTGAGCAGCTTCGACAAGTTGAAGAACTGAAAAAAAAGGATCAGGTTACTTGCTGCTTACCTCTTTTTATTTTATTATTTTTTAATTACAGTACTGTAACTTTAATGTGGTACGGAAAAGTACGGAAAACACGTTGGAAGCAGAAGTTATTTGTGTGCTAATATTTCCAAAAAATGACAGCAGTCAGCTTTAATAATTTTCCATTTAAATGACAGCTGAGAGTTGTAACAAACTCTCCATTTATGTGAATGTTTTAATACTGTTACCTATAGTAACTTTAAAAGTAATGTTGCCAGTATTATTAAGTGAAAAGGTATTAATATCAAGAGGTTAACCTAGTTGTTTTCCATCACAGATGACAGTTTCTTACTCCAAGATTAAGGATGTTAAGATAGCAAGATTCACTTCCTTCTAGTTGTTTATTTTATTTATTTAAGACAGAACCTAGTTCAGGCATAAATTTAAGAGCTTCATTTTGAATTCTCTGATGCAAGTGATTGTGTTCATGCTTTATGGCTTAGTGTTCTGTGAGGTCCTTATTTGATTCTTTTTGTATATATTATTGCATTGTTTGTGATCAAAGCACTTGTTTTCACATTTATCTTGGAGGTTTTTGCTTGTATACCGGCCATTAGATGAGTGCATGTTATCAGGTTCTGTACAATAGCCACTAACAGCTATTTTTATTGTTCCTTATTTGGTAATTCCTATAAGAATTTGGATCTAAATAATACATTCTATGGATAATTTTTTTTCTAGAATGTATGTTGGACACTGAACATGAAAAATAAGTCAGTTTGGGTGCCTTTTGAAATGAACACTAGATTTTTTTAAATGAAAATAACCCTTATGAGACAAATAGAGGAGTATTTAGCCAAAAGAGAAAAAGTCTTTCTGGTGCTGTCTTCCTTTGTAGTTCAGTGTATGATGAAAGCTAATGTTATGACTACAGTGGCAAAATTAAATCCTGTTTATATGCATTCACTATTGACCATTGATTTCTAGGAAGATGATGATCAGCAGAGACTTAGCAAGAGGAAGGAGCAGAAGCAAAAAGATTCAGATGATGAAACGAAAGCTTCATGTTCTCTAGCCCATGAGGAATCCCTTACCCAGCTCTCTAATGAAGAGGTAAAACAACTGAGTAGTTCAAAGCAACTTCAAGTTCTTTTGCATTCCTCAGGGTGATTACAAATAGAAATGCAAACGTAGTGACTTCGTTCTCTGTCACTTATAATTCTTAATAAGCGGTGTAAAATCTTTGGAGATGCACTTGAATATATAAATTCAAATAAAGATTGGAAGACAATACTGTAAAATCCTCTGAGAGATGCTGTTAAAACTGTAATTTACCTTTTGCATTCCAGCTGTTAAATTCTCTTTGGATTTATATCCATGTTCTAACACATTTTCAGAATTAAATTCTAATTAAATTCAGAATTGAAATCTAAATTTTCAGAATGAAACCAATTAAATCTGAACAGTAAGCAAACATTTTGTAGCTAATTTGCTAACCTGCTTCTTCAGTTGAGTGCGTGCCTATGTGTGTTTTAAGATACTTCCAACTGTGTAAACTGAGGGTTTTGACCACATCTGTTCTACAGCTGAAAATTAGGGTTTTTTGTTTGTTTGCTTGTTTTTAATCCAAGCTGGTAGATGGATCTTAGCACCAAGTTTTCGCTGAAGCTGCTTGAGCTACATTAGTAGCTTTGTTAGACAGCTGGACAAAGTGATACTACAAGATGTCATTGGTTAGCAAGTCGTTTTGGTGTTGTAGGAAGTCATACACTGGGACAAGCTGAAATAGTATTTGAGATTTGCTTAAACTTTTCTTTTGTGAAGAAACAAGTCCAAGGAGCACACAGATTGGAACTTAGAAACCAAATACCAGAATGGGTAATTATTTCTCCTTTTCCAATGTATTTTGCTTGCTTAGCTGATAACCCTAACAGGTTCCATTTTGTTTTTTTTAAGTCAAAGTAAGGACAAAATAATATAAAGACTGTGTTTTGCACTATAGAAGCTTGTTTAAGCCCCAAGAGACTTGAGAATTCTCAATGTGAACTGATATTTTGTTCATTTTATTTATCCTTTTTAAAGAGAGAAAATGTATATATTCCAGGGTCTGCCATTCATTGTTTATCAGTGTTTTGTAACAGTTCACAATGCAGAAAGATGTTCAAAATCATAACATCTAAATGGAGCAGAGGTACCCTTTATAATACACCAAGGATACGTTTTTTTTCTGTTTCATATACAGTGTTCAATACTAACATTTCTTTATCGAGATAGGTAAATGAGAACAATTGATGACAAACAAAGGTTTTGTCTTCTGATGTTTTCTGTATAATTTCAGTTCTTGGGATACATTTTAGTCCATTAAGTACTGCATTTATTTTGTTCTAGGAATTATATGCAATGGGAAATCTTGTATTTTGGGGAAGGATATGGTTTCCAAAGTCATTTAGGATTTGTTTTCAATTGCTATTTATGGATTTGTTTTCTATTGCTTCTTAGAGCCTTTTTAGCTGCACAGAAAGTGTTTTACAAGTGGCAATAAATTGTATTATCAGTCATGTCTTATATCTCTGAATTTAAATTCTGAGCTCCTCTCTGTTGAGCATTTAAAAGGCTTTTCAGCTTGCAATACAAAAAAACAATTTAACTATATCATCAATCAGTTGTCTGATGATGCGATTTTATATAAGTCTATACTCTCTTGACTTTTTTTCATGAATTTCAACTCGTATATTTGCATTTTAAAGTAAATACATAATGTAAACACATGGAAGTAGCAGCACCCTACTAGTCCATGCTGGACTTATTTTGGAATTCAGTATTTTTCTCAATAGATTTATTTTCAGTGGTGCTTCCTTTACATGTCTAATGGCAAAGAAGAAGTGCACTGGAATGGATGGTATTTTGAAAACAGTCATGCTTCTTAAATAAAGCATTGCTGCTCTCTCTTTTCAGTGCTACAAACAAAAATAGATCAAGAGACTTAATGTTCCTTGTACAGGTCACAGGACAGTTACTGTGGCTTTTGGTATTGACATTCCCCAGGATGCCTTTCTGTTTAATCCCAGCCTTTTGCCTTTTCATTTTTTTATTTTATTTGCAAAGAATATTTTAAGTATCATAAGAAAATATTTTCCTCTTGCAATATTTTATGAGACGCTCAAAGTAGAAAAAAGAAATAGAGGAAAAATACTCACTTGTCACTACAGAGTAGATTTTAAATACATCATTCTCCACTCTTATGTTGGTGTTAAGTCTTTTCATTTTCACATGGACAGACTTCTGAACTTAGTTGTGGAAGAGGAATAGGATACTTGTGTTCTGTTCTAGAAGTGTTCTAGAAGTTCTAGAAGTGACATTGCAAGTGTCTCCCTTTAATGGAAGAAGTGCCTTGTTTCAAATACTGGAAGATATAAGGTGACTGTGTCCTTGCTAAGAGCTGGCAGGAAGACAGATTCTTACAAAAGCACTCTTAACAGAAGACTTTTTAATTGCAGCTGGTACATTTCAGCTCTATATCCTTTTTTCTTCAGTCTTAAGCTTGTTGATCAGATGTTCTTGCCAAAGCCAACTTAAACCTCCCTTTGCTGTGTATATATGTATATACTTGCCGTCCAGCATTCCCCTTGTACTGTGCTCCTAGAATGTTAACTTTTTCTTTCTTGTTTTCCAATTCCAGGTGCATTTAAATAGCACCCATGGCTCAGTCCATTCGTTGGACGCAGACTTGCTTCTGTCTTCTGGTGAATCCTTCAATAAATCAGAAAATGATATGTTTAAAGATGGACTACGGAGAGCACAGTCAACAGACAGTCTGGGGACATCTGGATCTTTACAGTCCAAAGCTTTAGGATACAACAACAAAGCAAAATCTGCTGGGAATCTGGATGAGTCAGATTTTGGACCACTTGTTGGAGCAGATTCCGTCTCTGAGAACTTTGATACAGCTTCCCTTGGGTCTCTGCAAATGCCAAGTGGGTTTATGTTAACCAAAGATCAGGAAAAAGCAATCAAAGCAATGACGCCAGAGCAAGAAGAGACTGCTTCGCTTCTTTCCAGCGTTACACAAGGGGTAGAAAGCGCTTACGTGTCTCCTAGCGGGTACCGCTTGGTGAGCGAGACAGAGTGGAATCTTCTGCAGAAAGAGGTGAGTGAGTGCCCGCCCTGCTGCCACCTGTGTCGTGGGCTGCCTGCCGGGGGAAGGCTGTTCAGCTCCTGCTGCTTTGCTTTCCTTGGAGGGCAGTCATGGAAGAAAACACGCAGCATCATAGGTAGCTACTCGCTTCTCTCTGGAATATTTCTCTTGTTAAAGCAGATTTAATGTAAGGGGTATCAACTGACTGCTCATGGTGAAGTCAGCTTTATTCAATGCAGAGCATTTTTAGGGGAGGCTTTGGCAGAGGTTGCTGTTGATTTCATGTGAGGGGGGAGCTGGGGGGTGACTGGGAAAGGACAAAGACTTAACAAAAGGATCAGGGCTAACAGTGCTGCTTTGTATGCCAAGGATATTTACTGAGAATTACGCATGGAGTGCGACTTAGAAAGGAGCAACCGAGATATGCATAACACACACAGCTACCACAAAGGAAGCTTCAGAAAATTGTCAGGGATTTGCATCATCAGAAACTAATTTTGGTGAGCAATGAGCAGCAGATTAGGCTTAACGCTGTGCCAATTTCAGTATGGGTGACCAAGGAAATATTGCTTCTGGGTGTTCTGCCTGGCAGGTTTTCAGCAGCTTTATACGATGCCAGTTTAAAGCCTGTGTTTGGTTTCCTGCTGAAAAGAGGAATATTATTGGGGCCTGGATTTCAGAAGGAGGGAGGCCAAGTAATAATGCTGTAGGGGGAAGAAAGGGAGGCAGAAGAGATGAGTCAGAAATGGGTGAAGATGATGCTGGGGGAGGGAAAACGAATGTAAGAATGCAGGTGGAAGAGGCCAGGCAAAGGACAGATAAGGTGAAGAAGTGTTGATATTTTATTTCCTCAACTTAATGGAATTCAGCTTATCTGCAAATCGTTACTTAGGGGGTCTTAGGTTTAGACCTATTGTAAAATTGCTGGGTTTTATGTTGCTGCTAGTTTACAATGACATAGTTTCTCCCTCTAGATCCTACAGTCTCAGAGCTGACTTCAGTCCTTTACTTTGAGTATTTCCTTGCCCCGATGACATTTTACTCCAATCCTGTCTTAGAATTAAGGGATAAATACCCTGCTTCCCACGTATTTCTGGAGGCAGGAGCACTGGTGGGGCTTGTGAATGCTGCCCCGTGTGGGAGGGACGTGAAGCAGCAAACACAAATCAGACTTCAGCCCCGACGTGACTTGCAGTAGGAGCTTTGAGAAAACTCCCATTTGTCCCCTCAGCCAAAACGGCAAATAAATTCCTTGTTTCCTTGCTGCGTACCCTAATACTTTTCCCCTTCCCATTTTTTGGAAGTCTTTCTGTTTGTTTTAAACTTTTCTTCTACTTGCTTCTTTCCCAGCTGTTCCTTTAGCTGATTACTCAGTCTCTGATACTGAGCTATGTTCAAGGAGGATATTAAAAAATAAATAAATCTGGATGGCTGTTGTAGCACCATTAGTATATGCTGTTGCAAAAATACTCAAATCCCAGTTTCAGGGAGAAAAAGATTAAAGGAAACCCTAACCCAATGAACTGACTTGCTTTTTAGTTGGCTTGTGTTCATTTAATTAAAAACAAGCAAAAAAATGTAGTGTCATGTTTATAATTTGATTTGTAACACAATGTAATTGCATGAAAAAAGGCTAAAGGCTGTTAAAATCTGTTCTCCAAAATGTCTGTTTCTATGCAGGTAATTATGTGATAAAATTCAGAAGGACACACTAAATGACCTGATAAACTCTTGCATGTCATGGCTTATTGCTCTTCACTAATAGTGGGATTTGTGCCAGGAAAATCTATGTACAGCAGCTGATTTGTTATCCTTTACCTCTAGAGCAATTTAATCTTGCTGTTACATGATTCTGCTGCTGTCTTTTATCAGTAATATTTTGTGAACACACAACACACCTGAGAGTATGTATCACTCCTGCATTCCTTGCATTTTATAGCCTGTATTGGAGGTGATAACTCTGTCCTCTAGGTGCAGAATGCAGGGAACAAGCTGGGCAGACGCTGTGATATGTGCTCCAATTATGAGAAGCAGTTGCAAGGCATCCAGATTCAGGAGGCTGAGACAAGAGACCAGGTAAGGTTTTTCTTCTAGCTTTAGCAAGATTTTTGCAGCTGCTCTAGGAATGAATAAGTGTGCAATGATGAACCACTTGCTGTTTTATTCATTGTTTTTAGTTGAGCCAGTGCCAGCACACTTGAAATTTAATTAATTTATGTAATTTTATTAACACAACCTAATCTGTTACTGGTGTGTGGCCATGAACACCAAATATATGTATTTCTTAAATATTTACCTCGGAGAACCACTTTACCCAGTGCCGTAAAATCATGAGGTAAAGTCACCGTTCTATAAAAAGTGTTGTGCTCATGCTGAAGCCAGTGTCTTTCATAATTTATATTCTAAAATGCTTTTCATGCATTAAATTATATTATCTTTGATACTGCAAGAGTTCTTAACAGAGAGGACCTCATCCTAGCAGCATAAAATGACCGTAAAGTACTGGAAGAGGTTTGTTTCCTAGCATATTCTGAAGAACAATTTTCAGATGGGTACAGAAGGCATGAGTCATGTTCTGCTTTGAAATAAGTGTCTGAAGTCATTACGTGGCAAAGGTCCAGTGCAGCTCGATGTCCCATGTTTCCTTATAGGTGTAATCTCTGGTGCTTGGTATTTCAGAGCAGCACAGGAACTTCTGAGTTGCATAGGATTTTTGAGGGATTTGTTTTGTTTTCTGGGAGTGTGATGAGTCAAGTTATATATGTGTTCAGAGAATAAAAATTCCCCAAAATAATGTAAAATTAAATTTTTTTTGTTGTAATGACACAGGTGAAAAAGCTGCAGGTGATGCTGAGGCAAGCCAATGACCAGCTGGAAAAGACTATGAAAGATAAACAAGAATTGGAGGAATATATGAAACAAAGTGCTGAAGACTCTGGTAATCAGGTACAATCACTTCATAATAAAGTTGCTAGGAATGAAGAAACATTATTCAATAGTATATAGCAAGAACTCATCTCCTCTTGGATAAGGGTGAACTACCTGCAGCAGAGGCAACAAAAGCGAGAGGTTCTAGGGTTAGTTATGCTCCATCTGAGCCTGCCCTTGGTTCTAGCCAAGTCTGACATGTTACCCAATCTTGGTCCTAAGGTTTCATCCCCAATCTTGAAATCCCTTACAGAGGTGATCACTGGAATTTGAGTAGTGTTTGAATTTGTAACCTGTCTATGAAATCACTCAAACATGCAAAAGTAACCGCGTGTTCTTTGTGCGTGTAGAGTAGAACTATGATACCACACACTTGACACACAGTTCATAGACTTGTGGTGAAGGCATGCAGTTGCTGAGTCTGAGATGTGTACAGATGGATATTTGGCATACTGAAGCCAAATAGAATGTGTGGTAGTCATAGCTGTAAAATATAAAAATAAAATCTTGAGCATATTAAAGGCTATGATATTAGGTAGATACCATATACAAGCCATTGGGTTGGCTTCTCTTGAGTTGTAAGACTTTCCCTCTTTCATCCCACCCAATGTTTTAATTTTTTTTCTTATTAAGGAAATAGCAGTCATTAGATGAAGTCTGTCCTAGATGACATGAATATGTTTTTCTTTTTGATGTACCAAAAGTAATCATAACTAAGTAGCGTTTCATCTTACTTCACTCTACAATTAAGTTATTTTACAGCAGCACATGCTTAACAGTATTTGGAGATCTGTGCTTTCAGAGAAGGGTATATTTTTAAAAACCATTACCATAAAGGAAATTTTAAAAACTTCATAGCTCTGCAGTTTCCCTTCAGTGTCTATGAAGTGTCTTACATTGAGGCTTGATGAGAATTAACTGTTTTGTTGTTGTTTAGAGTTTGGTAAATAGAATATAAGCTTACTATTGTTGTAAAAGCATAGCATCACTTCTGATTTGAACTGTGTTACTATTTTACTGAGTAAGCAATTAACAAAAACTTCAGTAGATTAGTTTGAAATTTAGAAGTGTATGTTATCAGTGATAACAGGGAAGAGAACTTCAGAGCCTATTTCTTCTTTAAAATTTTTCATGCTTTATATCTGTCTGTATGTTGTCTTTGTTTCTTTGTTTTTCAGATCTCTTTGCTTATGGTTAAGTGTCAGAAGTCGGAGAATTTCCTCAGTGAACTGCAGCAGGCGTTTTCACAAGCAAAGAGAAGTGTCCAGGAGCAAATGGTAAGACAGCTCAAGTCAAGAGATCATTTGAACAATGCTGTTTGTCTAGCCCTTGGGCCTCAGAGTGTTTGTAAAAGACTGTTTGTCTTGCTGTCCAACTAAGCTTGGCTGGAGAGAGCTGTGAATCTTAACATGTAAAGATAGTGACCAAGGGAGCTCCGATATGGGTGCTGACCCTCGAACAGTCTGTAGGGTCAGTCAGTCACACTTTGTGTGTATATCCGTGTAGATTAATAGGGAGCTGACTAGACAATTGTGGGTTTTTTTCCTCATTTATTATGTATATTTAATGACCATTTAGTATCTTATTTCACGTCAAATCTAAAGACAGTATATTTTTCTCAAGACATTTTTTTTTTAGGATTCCTCACAAGTAGCATTACTGGTGAATATTTTCTTCAGTTTGAGATGAATGCTCAGTGTTCTTACAGGTCAGACTTAAAATACCAGCCCTAACACCCAGAAAGAGATATGTATGGGAACTTTTTTAAAACTATTTTGAGCATCTTGTAGGAATTATGCCAGAGGACAGGAATAGGACCTCATTTTCTAGGGCAGAACAAAGTCTGACTTCCTTAGAGCAATCCATTCCCTTTTGTATTAGAATCAAGTTTCTTATTTTTTCCTCCCTTATGCAGCAGTGCTGGGAGGAAAGCATTCATTCTCCTGAATCCCAGTATTGCACTTCTGGCATCCAGGATTGCCTGCAGTACACTGGGAGTACACTTGCAGAACCGTTCTGTGTGCTCTTCTTTGTGAGACCATGCCTAATGGAGATGCAGAAGATTCAGAAAATGTATTGATCTGGGTTTACTTTTCAGAAATACTCACCTATAATGCAAAGGGCAGCATTTGTCAAAGTTTAAGTCTCCGTGCATCCAAACTAAGATTTTTTTTTTAAAAAAAAAAAAGTTCACTGGATGTATTTCTTCTGTAATGCAAGCAAAACTGTGTTTTCTTAATCCTTGTTCTTTGCAAGGGATAAGCTCTTCTGATGGCTTCCTAAAAGATGGTGGGAGGCAGACAAGTACCACTGAGAATTTTAGGTTGAATATTTAATTTTTCAGTATCTTACAGCTGAGTTGCTAGATGGTTTTAATAAACACCTCTGCCAGTTTCTGGAACCATATTTGATTTTATTTTTTTCCCTGCCTGAATAAGCACAGCTAGCAAACCGGATAAATACGGAAGAAAACTGGGAGATTTAGCAGTGCTGCTTGCTTCCTCTCATCTGCCTGCACAGTTAAGATTGATCTTGCTTTCATTTCTGGTGCAGAGGCTAGGCAAAAGAGAGGACTGATTATGCTGATCCATTTTGTTTCCCTTCTTTACAACAAATTCAGTCTTTTGAAAGCAGTGATAGTAAATGGGGCATGAAGAGATGTGAGCATGACCCTAACTGAGATTTTTTTTTTTTTTTTTTTTTTGGAAGGCTGTCCTGACACAGTCAAGGGAGCAGGTTTCAGAAGAGTTGGTGAGACTGCAAAAAGATAATGAAAGTCTTCAAGGAAAACATAGCTTGCATGTGTCTTTACAACAAGCTGAAGATTTCATTCTGCCAGAAGCAGCAGAGGTAAAACACTTTGAAATCATTTAACACAATCAGTGCACAGAACTTCATGTCATTGAAAGAAGCTTCTTTATCAAAAAGCTGCCTCAGAACAGCACACTGAACAATAATTTGGATTTAAACCCCATAGTCTGTGATGTACAAAATCATCTGATCACAACTGGTGCTTGCGAGCTGTTCCCTGAGCAAGCTTCTGAGTGTAGGTAGATAGATAATAATTTAGTTAACTGCGGCCTGACAGCTGCTTTGTTGTCGGAAATGTTCAGGTGTATCCTGGTTCAGCTAGTTTAATCTGTGTTGTGTGCACACCTGCCCAGTCACCATGACTCCATGAGCAAGTATTGTCATGTCACCATGACACCATGACTCCAGAGCAAGTATTGATTCACCAAGTAAAGCTAAGTCAATCCTTTTAATTTCTGTCGAGGCATTAAGGTTAAAACCAGTAATAGTCCTGAGCCTTGAAGAAGTGTGAGCCATCCTGGCCATGCTCACTCACACTCGAGCACATCGAGTTTAAAAGATAAGGTCGGTCAGGAAATGAAAAGCAGTGGTAGACGGTTGTAAATAATCCTGTGGAGACAGTAATGTTTACAAGCTTCTTATTTCCAAGTCCAAGCAAACTGTTTGCAGTTTTGTTTTAATGTGTTGCATTCTGGTATGGCAGAACAAACCTTGGGGTAGTACTACTTTGTGCTGGCTATAAATATGGTACTTTGTGTGTCTGAAGATCATAATACAACCCCTTGCTAATCATTGATTCAGGAGCTTCGGGAGATGGTTTTAAAATATCGTGAAGACATAATTAGCGTGCGGACAACAGCAGATCACCTTGAGGAGAAACTTAAGGCAGAGATTTTATTCTTAAAAGAACAGATTCAAGCTGAACAATATTTGAAAGAAAACATAGAAGAAACTCTACAGCTGGAAATAGAGAATTGCAAGGAGGAAATAGGTGAGCAAGGATAAAACAATGTCAAAATGAGTAATTGAAGACTTGATTTTGTGATAGAATATACTTAACCTGAATTTTTAAAACTTCCATGTCTGATAGAGTATTAACCCAAGCTGTGCAGCTGAAAAACAGTGCACGCTTAAATCTCCGTTGAATATTAACAGAAAGAAACAGGAGCTGTCCAATTTCTTCTGCGTTTTTTTTGCACTCAAGCTTTAATGTTACTGTTTTTCAGCTTCCATTTCCAGTTTAAAAGCTGAATTGGAAAGAATAAAAGTGGAGAAGGAACAGGTAAGGAGTCCTTTCACTGTGGGGTGGTTTTTTTGTTTGTTTGTTTGTTTGTTTTGTTTTTTTTTGCGTGTATACGTGTATTTAAACAAAGAGAATAAGATTTTTTTTTTTCTGCTAGTTCTATCAGGACTTTGAAAGTGACACTGTCTTGGTGTCTTTGTTGCTATCAACGTCTTTATATCTGAGAAAATGAACTTTTTTCCCAACTGCCTAAGAGGTGTCAGTAACACTTCAGATATATTTTTGTGTGTGATGTTTAGTATGCCTAGCATTGGGGAAGAGAGAGGGCTGAACTAAGGAGAGAGTTCTGAAATATTTAACGTTATTGTTCCTTCATCTCAGCTTGGTTGTGGGCTGGTGGAGGGCTGGCTTATTTGTGTATGTAACCTTTCCTTTCTGTACTAAGGAACATCAGTTTATGCATTTACAAATATTCTTTCTGAAAGGACTGACATTGTACTAGACGTTCTCAAACTATTTCAGCTTTTGATATCAGCTAAGAATGTACGTGCACCTGTGCTCTAGGTAGTTTCTGTGACCTCCTCAAAGGAAACACATAAGGTCATGCCTGGAACTTTGAGGGACGGAATTGCTCTATTGATGCCAGTGTGGGATAGGGACACATTCATAGTTCTGTTACTTAAAATGTGTTCTGTCTGTTTATTAATCTGCAAATGAAGTATTAACATATCTAATTCCTAGCTAATGTTAGGTTATCCAATTAATAACCCAAATATCAACCCTGGTCAGTTCTCTCCAGCTCCAAAAGGAAGATTGGGGGGGGAGAGAGAGATTATTTTCTATCTTCATACAAGAAATTATTTAGGTTTATTTCTGAATCCCCGGGAGACACTTGGACTGTATTTCCTATATGGAGGGACTATGAGAAATTGAAGTGTCAGGAATTCTAGTTCTAATCTTTTGTGTTGTGCTTTTGTTTTTTATTTGTATAGTTGGAAAGTTCTTCACAGGAAAACCTGCAGCAGCTGGAGAGTCTGCAGGAAGCAAAAAACACTCTCGAAGAACAGTTGAAGAAGGAGACGGCAGCAAAGGTAGCTATGTCTGGGTGTGAAGTATATGTGCATCTTATTTGATGATATACCTGTGGGCAGAGCTTATATTACAACAAAAGAACAGAAGAGGAAGTTTTTGAATGTTAAGATTGTCAGTGAAATCAACTCCATTGGGTGCAGTCTAAATCTTCATTCCAATCACTTTGCACTTAGATTTTTGAAGCACTGCATCTGAATTGTTGCTGATTTGCAGCAATTCAGATTTGGGGTGTTTTCCAAAACTAAAGACAGTAAGAGAATAATATTTTCACCAGCAGATTACTGCCTTTCCTCTACAGTACGTTTTCATTAGAACTCAGAAACCTGCTCTTTCATCTTGAGGTCCCTGGACATAGTGCTGTGAAAAGATGTGAGGCTTTTCCATGTTTTAACCAATCTGATAATGAGTAAATTTATCTGATTGGTACTAGCTCCATATTTCATAGCTCAAAAAATTGAGGTGTGGAAAGAATGATAGGATTAATTTCTTGCCAGGACTCTGAGATTAGCCATGCTTCCTTGCTCTAGTGTAATGTTCTATTCAGTTTATACAAGTTTCTCCTTTTTTTTTTAAATTCTTTATGTTATACTTAAACTGAATTATTTGTTTTTAGGCAAACCTTGAACAGCTGGTGTTTGAAGAGAAGAATAAAGCTCAGCGGTTGCAGACTGAATTAGATGTCAGTGAGCAAGTGCAAAGAGATTTTGTAAAGCTTTCTCAGACGCTTCAGGTAAGGGAAGTGCAATTCATAAGGTGCTACTTCTGTTTCTTTACTTGTCCAGGGCTGATTAAAATAAGAAATAGCAGTTGTAAAATTTCCTTCTGTTGGTATTAATGAATGATTTTTTAATTACCAGTGTAGTAAACTGACCAAGTATTCCTAGGGTTATATTAGTATTTTATTCTAATTAGGCATTCTATTAGGGATTTTATTCTGATTACTTAATCCCAGCATGTTGTTATCAGCAAAGGTACATGTTTATTGTGCTACATTAAACTGTAAAGAGCCATAAGTGATGATAAGTTTAGGCCCTAGCATTTCATTGTCCATCTCCTGACATTTTTCTGTATGTTACATTCCATAGCAATTTAAGGTGTGTATATTTGAGGATAAAATCAGGAACTTGTACTGTTGGATCTGAATATATGGAATTGTTCCTCTTCCTGCTATACTTACTGCTTTCTGTTTAAACTATCTAAAAGTCTTATCCTTGTTGTTGTTTGCGTTTCTATCCTCCCATTTCCTCCGAAAAGTAGAATCTGTGGTGTGTGATGAGATATCAAGAGGTGGCTGCAGGAAAGTTTTGGCAGGAGCGTTCCTGGAGACTAATTCCAGTTTCAGTTTAATCACTTTTAATGCCAACTGTAGAGCCAAGGGTCCTGCAGTTGTAGTGTTTGCAGGGTGGCTGTAACCTCAGAGAGCCAGGTTAAATAGGTTTCACTTTAAGTGTCTGGTTTGGGAATTTATCCCCCTAACACTGCTAAAGTCACTGTCCAGCTTACTAGAAATCTTGCTCACAAGTGGTATACTGAAGTTCAGCACTGTCTCCCCTTTGGGTTCTTGCCCAGTTCACTCAGTGAAATTCAGCAGAATTAGAGATACAGATTATTTTGAGTCAAGTGTTCAGGTTTATTTGGAAAACAAAAGCAGGAATATTGGAGACTGTCCATCCAGCTCAGCTCTGCCTAGTAAACAATAGGGAACTGTCCTCTTGTTCTGGCTGTTTCTGGAGGAGTAGGTAGTACAAGGGAGGCTATTGAGTTGCCCTGGCTGGTGAAATTGTTTCTTGCTTGTCATCATCCTGCCTCTCTCTCTCTTCTTAAAAGTACTGAATAGACTGGTTTATGCAGTTCTTAGAGCAAAAACATACATGCCACTTTGAAGATATGTGGTGCTCTTCCAAAACTTGCAGGTAGTGTGGTAGGCCTTCCTTCAGTGATGAGCTCAGTGAGTGTTAGAGCTCTGTCTTTTGTCTCTTCTTTCTGCCCTTAAGTAGTTATTACATGTTATTTTATTATTATTATTATTTATTTTTTTTTAGCACTTAGCAAGTCTTTATGCTAAGAAAAAGCAACGGTTTGTGCTGTCTCTAGTGTCCATAGCACAAGGTCTGCTGCATTACACAGGAACACAAGAGGAGAGGTTACTGCTGGATGAGGATTTGGGTTTCTTGCTGTCATTTGTGTGTGAGGTGTCAACTGGCTGAGTTTAGGTATCAGCAATGGAGAATAAGAGCTAAGAATCAAGTAACCAATAGCTGGGAATTTACAAAAGAAAACCTAGATGCTGATACAAAGAGCACAGAAAGCTGAATGACTGCCTGTGCACCTCCACCTCCTTCCTCTCAAAAAATATTGTGATCTCTTTGCATTCATTTACATGCGGTTCTTTCTGGTGCACTTCTTCAGTGTGAAGTGGCTTATCAGACAAGCAAGTGACAGGATTATACTTGGATGTAGGAACATTTCATCCAAAAGCTTTTCAGCTTTAATCTTGAGAGGTTTGAAAGCATGTGCCAGGCAGGTCTGTATTTCCTTTACATTCTTTCTGTGAATGTTGTGGCTTTACACAGCTCCTCTGGTTTGCCTGGCCAGGATACTAACAGTGGCTGGTCATTAGGCAAAACACAGTGACAATGAGGGCTTGCTTGGGCCCCCCAGAGAGTGTCTTTTATTTTGAAAGCAAAACTGTGTTATATGTTGCGTCGTCCCCCCCCGTCCATTCTTGATTCTAAATTAAGTTTGTGTTCCTTCAAGCCTTGTGTCTTTCAGCCAATGATACGTCATTGGCTCAGCTCTGGTTATGAACCTCTGGTCTTGCTCCGGCACGTTTTACTAGCTTGTTGTGTCTGTTGGTTTTCTGTAGGTGCAGCTGGAGAGGATCCGGCAGGCAGATTCCCTGGAGAGAATCCGTGCAATCCTGAATGACACAAAACTGACGGACATTAATCAGCTACCTGAAACATGACACCCTGATGAGCGGGCTCCAAGGCTGCATTTGGGGTTTTTAACTCATCTTTATAGCAACATTAATTATTATTTAACTCTAACCGAAAGAGCAGAAGACAACAGAGGGGAGCAATGACTAAGTTTTGTTTCTAGAGGGGAAAAGGTTTCATACTGGGCAGGAAGAGAGCTCGAGAGTGACTTGCTGTGTAGGAAGGAGAATTTTCTAATGGAAACACTAATGAGTGTGGTGTTTCGTGTTCCACTGAGTGGGATCAGTCCTTACATTCTGAAAAACTTCCCCTCTTTCAGCCAACTTTGTAACCTAATATAGATTTTTTGGAACATTTACCCCCCTGTTTTTCCCTTTTTTTTTCCTTTTCCCCCATTACTGTGATCAAAGTAGCTGCTGGAAACCATATTGTCCCTCCAAAACATCAAAGAGCAAAGTGGTTGAAGTTTTTCTGTTTGACTAGTCAGTAACAGTATTCAGCTAGCAGAGAGAATGAGGTGTAGAGTATGCTGTATGAATATTTTATATTAAAATATGACTTTATTAGCAGGACACTGGATATTGATCTTATTTTATAACTCAGTGCTTTTTTTTTTTTAAACCATTGATTTTGTGTTGTAGAATCTGAATGCTGCTGAAATGTGGTGGACATGAGTGAGCTGTGTGTCTCCTGAACAAAAGAATGCCAATCCAAAAAAAAACCAACAAACACAACAACAAACAAACAACCAAAACCCTGAAAAAAACTGTACTGAGAACTTAGCTCCTTGAAATATTTCCTTTGAATTCTGATCCTTTGGAGAAAAAAAAAGCACAAGACATGTACTGTTTTGTTATATCTTCTCACCAGTGTAAGTTAAAACATGGAATTACAGCTAGTTCTTTCTCATCTCTAAAGCTGAACAGTACGTTGGCTTGGGGTTTCTACAGGTCTGTTTTGCTCTAGTGGGTGGCTATAGATGTGAAGTCACTAGCTTTCACTGAAAATGGTCAAGGTAAGATGCTGAAGGAAGCAAAGTCAGCTTGACCCACCTCTCCTGGGTCAGCAAAACAGTGACTGCACTTGGTCACAGAGCACAAATGCATGGCAACTGCATTGTTCTCCTGGTTCAAGTTTGAAAGGTACAGTGCATCTCTTACAAGTATGGTATCATGTTACTGCTCTGAGTTGATTCATACACTGTCCTGTATTTCTATAAGCATACATTTAAATTACACAACAGCAGAGGTAAAAAAAAAAAAAAAAAAAGTTGTGATCAATCAGGCTTTAGGTTTGAGTTTCTTATTATATAAATAATATGGTGGTACCACCAGCATTACTCCTTTTTTCTTCTTTTATTGGAGATTCATGCATGCAGTTGGATAGCAACGGTTTTATGTATGGCTGTGGGTGTTGGAAATGGACATGGAGTTCTTGGACTGGTAGTCCCTTGTTAGGACTCAAAAGAAAGGAGGCTGAGAGAGCAGCCTTGTTTTTGTCCAAAATTTATAACTTAAGCTTGCCTCTGTTGTTTACTGTGTTTTCTTTACATACTTGGTCACAGATCTGATGGTGATGAAGAAAGACAGAAGTGACAGAAAATGCTCCAAGCTGTAATGCACATGACTGTATTTTTAGCAGTGTATATCCTGCTACTAACATAAAATTGGAAGGAACTGGTGATTTCAAAGAGGGTTGCCTTAAAAAAAACAGCCAAAAAGCAGCATACAAGCTCAATTGCTTGTAATTTATTGCAAGAATTAAAGCATTTTATTCATCCTAGAAATTAATTCCTTTCATAATCCTGACACCCAACATTTTTCCTACGTTGGTAACAACTAGACTAGTAGACGGCGGAGTTATCATCTTCCAGGTGACACCTTATGTCACATAGCAGATGTTGAAATGTGGCTTAGGTTCTTTATTAATTGGCTATTGCCAGATTTTGGGTTTGTTAACCTCTCAATTTGCTGAACAGCAAAAAAAGAAAAAAAACAAAACAAAACAAAAAACAGGTGACAGCAGCTGCCTTCTGATGCATAAATCTAATACCAGATGTTTTGTGTTCAGTTTTCCAACGGTTAGCATACTGTTCTGTTGAATAAATTCTTGGGAGCATGGGGGGGGAACAGGCCTTTGCTAAAGAGCTGCAGAATGAAGAACATTTTCCTGTGTTCCCTTCCTTCCTGAAGATTAACTCTAACTGGTTACTGACACTTAACCTGTGCAGCAGTGCTTCAAGGAAGCCTGTTGTTTTGTGGCTAATCTCAGCAAGCTGAACACTTGAGGAATTGCACCTGAAGATCTATGCAGAAAAAGACTTTTTAGTTGAGTTTATGGACTGTTGTCTTAATGCAAGAGCTGCTAATGGCATTCCAACACCCCGTTCTGGTCCAGCTCTCAGTGCCCCTTCTCAGCAGCCCTACCTTCCTGTCTGTTCCTGCCTTACACTTAAACAACCCTGGCCTTAGCTGACCGGTTTAAGTTGTTTTGATTAGCGCAGGGTTGGTGTGGCTTTTCCCTAGCGTATTTTTACAGATTGTTGCCCTGGCTTTATGTAGGTGTGGTACGTTGCAGGTGATGGCTGCCTTTCCCAGTCTGCAGAGGGACAGGTGAGTGGCACCTCAGTCTGTGATCGTTCAGAAGCACAGTAACAAACACATCAGCCGCAGAAGTTGTGCATGTGTGTCCGTATACATGCCTGGGTGTTTTTCTCAGTGGACAGCGATGGTGTGTAGGGCTGGTCTGAAGAGGCTGGAAGCACATGCAGTAGGGCACAAAGGGGGCTGATGAGAACTCACCTGAAAGGAGTGGTGCTGGCTGCTGAGTTCCTTGCTTGTAAACCAGGCACTGCATGAGTCAGTGGGGTAACTTCCTTTGGTTTGGAGAGGAGGGGTCTACGGTTACTGTGTGGTGGTTTTCCTTCTTAACCACTTCACACCATCATGCACCCTTAGTCCTGTTTAAGTTCTAGCTATGACCATTTTCCTAGTTGGAAGGTAAATGACTTCTTTTTTCCACCAGCCACTGATAAAAATGTATTTTTAAATTCGAAGCCTGACTAGCCACAGGAGTGTAGATGTGCTCACTACAAGCAGCTGTCCTGCTAACCCTGAGGGGAACTCACTCCTTGGGAAGGAAAACACAGCTTCAGAAGCAGTAACTCAAGCTTCTGCTGAACTCAAATTTAAGAAATATAAAGCAGCCTTTTAAAAAAGTGTGCCAAATTTGCAGAGCAAATTTAAACCACTGTCAATTAAGTGTAGTTAAAAGCTTTTTCTGTATTCACTCAACGGATTCTGGTGTCTCTGAAAACATCAGCAAGTAAATGCTTTTCCCTCCAATTCCTGGCGTCCTGGAGCTCAATTTGAATGGGGTGGTAGGTTTGCCTCACACAATAAATTTTTGTGGTTTTTTTTTTTTCCTCCTTTTTTTTGTAACAGGCACTACTTCTAACCTGGCAGGTCAGCTCTGATGCACAGGGTGAGTGGACTAGAAAGCCGGATTCTGTTTGTGCAGACTGTAAAAGGGATGAGAGCAAGTTTTGTATGCATTCCTATACTTGTATAGTCTTAATCTGTACAAAAAAAAAGCAACAAAAAACAAGTGTTCTTGCAGCATGTCTGGTAACCTCGTTACCTAACAGGTAATAACAGCCCTCCTTTCCTTACAGCTTTATTTGGCACCTCTTGCTGTGCCACTTTTGTAGCAGTGCAGTACTACTTTTCAAAACTGAGCTTGACCACGTCACCTTTTCTAAGGGGAACTGGGGGGGCAGAGACAACAATTATTTATTGTCCGCTAAAGTTTGTCTACAGCAGATAATTGGTCTTTTAATGTTAAGACGGACTTCAGAGCCACCTTTTGATGAAGGCAAACAGTGTTTGGAAGTTAATACTGCATTCCAGTGAACCAAGCCATTGGTGTCCTGTGCAATTGTGGATGTAGAATTCTGCTGTCTACAGGATTCAAGTGTAACCATTTGTTAACTGTACTGAAGGTGTGTCCTTTATGAAGAAAGTGTTCCAAATTAAAAAAAGCTGCTGAAGTGTGTGCGCTTCTCTTGTCTTTCTACTCTGCCTTCTGCCACAGGCCTCCACTGCAGTAACTGTGCCACGGACCCAGGGTAGGGGATGCTTCCCAGAGTAAACCCAGGGAGTTTTCTGCAGGAAGCAGCCATGCTTTTCCACACTACTGAGCTAGCTGTGAGTATTACACTGTAATAACTTCAGGTTTAAAAGAACCTACTGCACAATCTCCTTCCAGGAGAAAAGCAAGAAACACAGCATGTAGGGTATCTTATCAAAAGTACTTTAATTCTTAGTTATCTTTACAAAATAATAAAGAAAAGGCATATTGTCCATCTTACAAATGTTAAATATACAAGGGGAATTACCAGAGAAAATTAAAGCTCATCCAGCTTTTCATTGTAGGTTCATCTTCCTGGACATGTTAGAAGTTCACGTGGCTTCTGATGTCATTAATCTGTTTTACCATTTCCCTTATGTGTTCTCCCCTTCAAGAAAAGTAAATTCAAGTCAAAAAGCTGTAAAGTCATTTTTGTTCGAGACCACTTAGGAAGAAAAATAATTCATGTGGTAGATAGAAGCAGAGCATGGAAACACTTGCAGCTGATTTTGTTAATTATAGGCATCATACAGAGCGCCACAAGATCCTCAGACAAAAAGCAGGCATAAAAGCAGACTTAGTTTAGTAGTAGCACAAGATGGACCAGTACCATTGTCATAAGCTGGCATGCTTTATGCTTTAGGCTCTCTCTACAAACTCCAGCTGGTGCAGCAGTCAGCCCCCTGCCCCCATGCAGTTAAACTATAAAACTATAAACTATAAAGTTAAACTATACCCTACAACCGTGACTAGGACAGCCTATATAAGTGCCAGGGCTTGAATTCTACAGGAGGATCCAAGCTTTAACTTACTCTTCTTTAAGAACGGTTTGGATGCACTTGCTCTGGTAGGCACTGAGGGTGATGCTGGGTTTTCGTGGGCTAGTACCTTTTTCCATCTTTTTCTGCTGGTATTCCTTCTTCATTTTAACCTAGAAGTCACACACAAAAAGACCCGCAGTCAGCATTGGTTCTGCCTGCCACAGTGAAAGCCAATTATAGCTACAAACAGGTGTCACAGTGCAGTAAATTCTGATTCTGTGTGGGTTAAAATCAGCTTGCTTTTGCATTCTTCCACAACGTGGAAGGAGGTAGGAGCATGGTTGCACCTGGTCTGGGAGGTCTTTTCCAACCTTAATGATTCCTTGAGTCTACAAAGAGAAAATTAGTGCTAGGACTGAGGAACGGTGTGGAGACTTTCTTAGGGTTTACACAGGGTTCCAGAGGCTGGTTCTATCTGTATTAGTAATAAGGTTCAGAAGTTATTTCTGCATGATGTTGCTAATTTAATGAAGGCATGAAGCTGCTCTGTGCGGAAGGACTGTATTCTAATTCAGCACAATTACTGTGGATGAAGTGTTACCAATAACCTACCAGCCAGATATTTTATCTCACCTGTCTGATTGCATTGCTCAAGTGCTGCAGCTGGTCATGTATTGTCTGCAGTTCCTTCTTCATATCTTTTTCGCTGTCTGATAGAACAGGAAGCTGAGAGTGGAAGCTACGAAGTACTTTCTTCATCCTTCATATACAAAGCAAGAAATGTTGCTTAATTAACTCATCTGTTAAGAATAATTACACTCAGACTCCACCAGTCTTCTAACTGCGAAGCATCATTTGTCATTCTTCCTAAGTCTTAGAGGTTCAAGACTCTACTCTCCTCTTTCAGCTAGCCTCACGCAGCATTTCTAAACTGCAAGCGGGCTCAATACTGAAAGTCACCATTGAGCAAAGGGAATTTCAGAAGCTCAGACTTCCACCAAACCAGTGAGGCACTTTCCCACCTACTGTGTTCTTCTACCATGCTGACAAACATCTGTTAACAGTAAGTAATCTGTGATGAAACAGAGTAGTTTGCACTCACCTATTCATAATATCTTCTTGTTTCTCTTTGGCTTCCTCATACTTGTCAGCCAACCGTTCAGCCATTTCCCGCAAACTTTTCCTTTATGCAATTGAGAAACATTTGTTTATTTCTTACTTACATGGAAATTAGTCCATATGTAAAAACAAGCAGAGCCTGAAAAAACGGGAGTTGGGAATGCCTAATTAAAGCCAGAAGTGCCTTCCCTTCTCAGATAGTTTCATACAGGGCCCTACATAAAGTACCTTTTGCATGAAGTTGCATCATTCTGGATTTTGACTTGATAGATGTAGACAGATTATACTCACTTTTCTTCTCGACAGTAATTAAGATCTTCTAGTTGCTTCTTTTTCTGTCCCAACAGCAGCTTCACTCTTAAAGATAAATATATACATAAAATCGAGCCACCCATAACAACAATCCAGCTGAATCTGTATTTAGGCCATATAGAGAACACACAGAAATAATCACTACTCCTGTAGTATGGAGACCTAAAGCCACTGAGACAGGGGCAGTGTTAAGAACTAACTCTACTATTTTGGCCCAACTTTAAATAAATCAACAACTATAATTGAAAAAAGCAGAGATTTGTTTAATGCATTTTTTCCTTTTAGCAATTTTGTCAGGATTATTGCTGAGGTCAAGGGATTTCCTCTGCCATGCCCAAGCACAGACACACTGACTTCACTCATCCACACCAAAAGAGCAGTAGTTCATCTCTTTTTACTTTTTTTTTTAAACACATTTTCCTCCATTATAGTGGTTAGTCCAGCAAAGGAGGGTTAGTGCTAGGTATTTCGTGTCATTGTTCCACCAAACATTGTACAGCACTTTTTATGAGGGACTTTTTCTTACCTTTGCTGAATTTCCTCTTTTGCCAAATCTTGTTTCAGTATATATTCTTCTCTGAACACTTGTGTGGCTCTGCTAAGAAGCTGAAGGCATTCTTCAGGGGGAGGAGCAGCATCTTTATCACCAGATCTGAATAAACAAGAGAGTTTTTTCTTCAATCCTACTCTTCCACGTTCCTTGGAAAGGTTAAATTAGAGCACTTACAGTAAGGGCTTTGGGGGCTCAGATATGGAAATGAGGGGCACAAGTAAATTTCCCAATGAGGAAATCACGAGCTCTCTAAAAATGCTCAAAACCCACTGGGACAGCCCTGAACAACCTAATGTAGCACTGCGGTTAGCCCAGCACTGAGCGAGGTGTTTCCCCTTCCAGCCTGAAGGGCTACGTTATTTGATGCCATGCCTGTACTGTGGCACAAATCTACAGAAGCTGCATCCCTGTTACTGCTGTTCAGTCAGGAGCTGATGGTGAATGTGGTATTCCTAGAGTCCTCCCTCTTCACCTTCCCTAGGGCATGGTTTTTACTTACTTCAGGAGCAAGGGATTGGCAGTACTCCGCTGCAGGATGCTTCGGATGTGCTTCTCAAACGAATGCTGTGAGTCAGCCAGGATCCGGAGAGGGGAAACGGCAACATCTTTGTCTTCCCTGGTACATAGTAGAGGAGGGGATGCAGGATGGACTGTACTTCTGCCAGAGAACAGCAAATACAGAACACTCGTAAGGCTTACACTACACCAGAGTTTAAACAGTAGTTAAAGTAAGGAACTCATCCACTGTGGGATTAACATATTACAGCAGCAAGTCAGAAGTGGTCCAAGAGGAAATATTTCAATTATGTGATAAATCCAGGTTGGAGCTCAAATCCACACATCTTTGGTCATAGCTGAAAAGGTCAAGAATCACAAATATCTTACTTAAAAGTAAAAAAATAACAAGGCAAGCAAGGATTCAAACGGCAACATGACCCAATCTCTGAAGAGTTTCAGATTTGCAGAATCCTCATCTAAAAGTAAGTAAGAAGACTACAAGGTCAACAACTTTTTGACACAGTGTTTGTCTGAATCCTCATTAGTAGTGATACAGATCAGTTATATCCCCTCTGACCACCTTATCAGTAGTAAGCAACTACCCTGAGAACACTTAAGTGCTCTGCCAGGGATTGTTCAGCAGGTAAACTGCATTGTGCTTCATTGTGCAGAAGTCCAGGGTGAAAGGATCAAAAGAATAAATGGGGGAAAAAAATCCTGACTTTTTTATAGGACAGTCATGGGCTTCAGCCCAATTAAGACCCACGTACAAGAGCGGCCTTGTAATACACTCGTAGGTATTTGTGATGCAGATCATCGTAGGCCCCAGGATGTCAGAGACAATCCAAAATCCTCTGATTGGAGCAGGTTGCCTGAAGGGAAGAAAACACAAGCATTACTCATTCAAGAAAAAACATTCTTTGTTCCTGAAAGTTGTTGTGCAAGTTCTTTTGGAGAAGCTCTATTTATAGCAATCAACTTAAGCCAGACCCATGTCACAAAGCAAAGAACCACTCTTCTGAAGGAGTCCTGCAAAATAATTATTCTCATGCCATGCAGTCTGACTGAGTCAGATGTTACCCAGCAAAAAGTCATCCACCCTGAGAGAGGGAGCACCCGTACAACTTGGCTGTGAATCAGAAGCTAAAATCTGCTGTGACCCAGGAAACTTTACCCCCTTCTAGTGCAGGGCACAGACTTCCTCAGGAAAAGACTGCTTCTGCCCATACACAGGTGCTCTGCATACCACCTCGTCTGCTCCAAACGCCACTTCCTCAGGTGAAAACTCACACCGCTGGATATTTGTCACCTGTACTAACTTAGGGAGCCCTTTAGATTAGATGACTGATGTCTACTGTCCTGGTTTCAGTTAGAACAGAATTAATTTTCTTCCTAGTAGCTGGTGGAATGCTGTGTTTTGGCTTAGGATGAGAAGAGTGCTGATAACACCCCGATGTTTTAATTGTTGCAGAGCAGTGCTTACACTAAGCCAAGGACATCTCAGCCTTTTGCTCTGTCCTGCCAGCGGGCAGGCTGGGGGTGCAGTAAGAGCTGGGAGGGGACAGACCCAGGACAGGTGACCCAAACTAGCCAAAGGGGTATTCCATACCATCTGACGTCATGCTAAACAATATATAGGGGTGGCTAGCTGGGGGGAGGGGGCCGGACTGCTCGGGGTTAGGCTGGGCATCGGTCAGCGAGTGGTGAGCAATTGCATTGTGCATCACTTGTTTGTACATACTATTATTAGTAGTACTATTATCACCATTGTATTATTATTATTATTTTATTATTATTGTTATTATTATTTTCCTGTCTTATTAAACTGTCTTTATCTCAACTCACGGGCTTCACTTTCCATTTCTCTCCCCCGTCCCAGAGAGGGAGGGGGAGGGGGAGCGAACGGCTGCGTGGTGTTTAGCTGCCGGCCGGGTTAAACCACGACATCTACTAATAGAGTATTTTTTTGTATCTTCAATATTTTTAATACACAGCATTCCACAGAAGCGATCAGGCTGTATTAAAGTGAGATGACACAGCCAACACAAATATCACATTTCCCAGCCAACGATGCCTCTTAACCCTGATTAGGGTACCTTACCAGCTAAAAAAAAAACAAGCTGTTCTATCAAGGCACAGCTTTGTCTTTTAACCTGTGGGTAAAAGGAACACATCAGTGTTCAAGACTCTCAGATTAATTGAGCCCCAGAGTTTTACTGGGACGGGTAAATGGAAGCAAAAGTTTCTGCTGGTTTGAAAGGTAATTTTCAGACACAAAAATTTAGCTCATGTATCTAACTGTGCATTAAGAAGCTTGATGCATGAAATGCTTATTTATATTTATTTGAATTCTGTTATGGTGATTTCATTATTTTTAATAAGAATGCAGCAGAAGACAGCTAATCATAAATACTTTTCCAGAAAAACTCACTGATTTGGAAGCAACAGAAAGTTGTTTTTTTACCTGCATGGCAATGGTTTCGTACAAAGAATATGTTCAACAAAGCACTTCTGTTCTGCACCCAGCTCCTGTAAACTGTCTTTATCTTCTTCATCTACAAAGAGATTTGTCTGAATGCAATATCCACTGTGTAGGGTAAGGTATTCTCAGTATTACTCACACGTTCCCCAGCTTGTTACTAGCAAAACGAAGCTGTTCAGACAGTACAAACAGTAATCCCTTTCCCTCTTTCCTCTATGTGCAACAGTCTTGCCACTCACCTGAACCAAGGAATTTGTGCAGTTTGTTGATCCACGTCAACCCCACGCTGTGGACACCAGCTTCATGTGTGCAGTGGTATCTAGAGGGACATTTTGGATCTGAAATTTAAACAGCGAATGTAGTAGATGGCACTGAACGAAGAAAATCTCATTCTGCAGCTGTGTGCTGTTGAACACGTGTATTGACCTCTTGTCCAGCCAGCATTAACATCTCCTTGCAAGTACTGACTAGTGCCTATCCACAAAATGAGCTAGGGGCATCAGCCACGTTGTTAGAATTCTGCATATAAACCAATTACTCTTGCAACACCTGTTACTAACCCGTTGGTGCATTGTTTAGAACTACTTGTATTAGACGACATCTCTGTCCACCAAACTTTCCAGGGCAGATCAGTCAATGGCAGCCGACCAGCTTTCAGACAGGCTTCTTGTTCAGAAGGACCCAAACCCTTTGTCCTGCCCAACCTCCTGCCCCAGGTGACAGGCTGATGAACAGACACAAACTCCTCCTTCAGGATTCATCCTCACAGTATATCACTTGTTTACACACATAGAACAGAACAAGCACAACAACTTCTGCTTTCTAATCCACAGCTGAAATAATTTAGTGTTTTGTAAACATCAGTAATCCGCCCATGAGTAAACAATAAAGCACATCCCAGCCTTGCTCTTTCTTTTAGTGATCTGCAGTATTTGCCATACTCTGCAAGATCCTATTTACAAAACAAAGATCTACCAAATGGCTTTTCACACATCAGTGGAGAAGCCCCCTCGTAGATACACTTTACAACAGAAAGGACCATCAAACACCCGTTACCTTTCTGCCATTCATTTTAATACAGCAAGTGGATAATAAAAATGATACCAAAAAACCCCAATGGTGATAATAGGTACTGAATGTTCAAACCTGCTTCAGAAGCAAGGTTCAGAGGTTCCTAAGTTCTTTTATGGCAACTTCCCTTTTACTCTGCAGATTTTCCACAGCTTTATTGAAGACATCATGCAAATGCTTTTTGTAATGCTGCTGTTTGAGACCAATGGTAATTTAAAAATAACTTGATCCTAAATTCATTAAATAAAGCAAGCAAAAGACAACAACCTGAACCACCACCCTACCTTGATGCAGTTTGATTGGGCAAGAGAAATCAGACTCCAAAGGCTCTTCCTCATCTCCTGATGCCAGTTTCAGTGCAAGTTCCAGCTCAACACATTCAAACACGTACAGGGAAGGAATAAGATCAGATCTTGGGTCCCATGACTTTTCCGACTGTAAAGAGCATTGAATTCTTCTATGAGTCAGCACTTAAATAGAAATACCAAAGCAAATAGCAGTAGGAAAGTGTTACGTAATATAGGCATGTGTAGTAATCGTTACAGTAATTAGTTTAAGTCCCCTTATGTTTTTCCACTTAAAAAGCTTCTCTCTGACACATGATTTCTTCAGAAGATCCTCTTTAAAATAGCTCACAGCAAGTTTGATTGAAAACTTCTATATTTACAGGATTCACACAAGCGATATTTAAAACAAAAGTGAAAGAGGATTACGGGGAATGGCTGTAGGAGGACGACTCACTACTTGGTTACAGAAGAACACAGCACCTGGCATTCACTGCTGTCTTGAGCTGTGACTGGGGAAGCAAAACAAATGAGACAAGGTACCTGCTCGTCATCCTCTTCTGCATCCAGTACCACACAGTGATAAAGCATTCCCGATTCAGTGGCAATCACCAGGATGTTTGGAACACAAGGCAGGCAAAGGACAGCACAGGCATCGTAGCCGTAATTATCTTCTGCAGCAGGGTGCATGGGCAAAGGGCCGAGCAACTTGCCAAGATTCCCAGTGCTGGAATAAAGAAGATGTGCTCACAACACTAGGTGTAGAAGGAGAGTTCCCCACGACTGCCTGCAGGAGTCTGCTGAATAATAACTATAGAATAAGGATGATTAAAATAAAGAACAAACACGATGGAGTTCTAACACACTGTTCTTGGAGTTATGACTACTAGCACTGCCACAAAGAAATGACACAGAATGGAATACAAGAAAAATCAGCCCAGCATCCATTACAGAGTCCCAGCCAGGTGAAGAGATGGCTCTCCAATGTACAGGAACCCCATGAAACATGAGGATGAACCCAAGCCTACCTCTGTATCAGGCTGATGTACGTGAGGAATGTCTCCCCATTTTCATATAAGATGTACAGCGGGTAAGCCAGCACCTCGTCGCTCCCTCGCTGTCCAAGTACATTCTTTGGGACTGGCACCAGTGGGCCAAAGTCAAACGCCACCGCAGTCTCTCCCAGTGACGCTGTGTAGGCTCTCCTAGGGACAGGTCAGAACAAAGCCTGGAGTCAGCAGTGACTGGGAGAAGTACGTCGAATTACTTCTGAACACCTGTCCATCGGTCCTTGATATATGCTGCTTGCAGCAGCAAAGGCACGCAGGTAACATCCTTCTTAAAAGGCCTCATTTCTGAAATGCACCCACCAGCCAGCCCAGTTTCACTGAGCAAGAGGCCCTCAAGTTTCTCCTTCCCAGTTAGGCCAAGGAGGAAATAAAAAGATCTGTTTTCTGCATTCCCCACTCAAAAAGCCCTTCTTAATCCTTAAAGATAATGCCTATTTTTCAAATGACTATTCTGATAAACACTGACTGTACAGTTTGTTCCTTCTTTTAGAAAGATCAGGAAAATAGTGCAGCTACTGCACTAGAAAGAAGTTCTAGCACAGAAGTCTGTGATCAGAAGTCATGAGAAAATTCGTATCAGAATTTAAGGTGGATTTATCACTCATTAAGGACACGACAAAGAATGCAGAGCTTATTCCGTCAAAAGCATTTCAAAATACAAGAAGCCACACAAACCCTTTGTTGATTGTAAGAGTCTCCTCCTCTGAATCTGAAAGAGTAATCACTTTGATGGGCGTCTGAGGTATCTTCAGGCTGTAAATCCTAGAGGAAAGAAAGAGCAGTAATGTTCATGCAGGAACACCAGCTGATAGGGGTCAAAAAATCCTCCCATCCTATCTTATATTGCTGCTTCTTGTAAGAAGGACAAAGCACAAATACCTAGTGAAAAACCAGGCACGCCCCAAACGAGAGCACAAGCAGCTTTTACCTTATCGTGTTATCTGAAGTCAAGAGCACGATGTGGGGCTCCAGCGTCTCGCAGGGATACCACGCGGCGTGCTTCAGAGTCAGAGACGGCGAGCTTGTGAAGAACCTTTCAGCGATGGGAATGGTGCTGAAACAGAGAGCAGACACAGGCCCAGTGACAAGAGCTACCTCTTCGGGTGGGGGCAAGAGGGGCTGTGCAAACAACCAAAAGGCTCCAGCAGCGTTAGCAGGAGGCGTTAAAGCTGGGCCCTCCCTGCAGCATGCTGCCAGTGGGCGCCAACCCACCTGCAGTTCACCGTCTCCTTCCCACCCTCGAACTCGGAGCTCTTGCCCCAGCGTTTGGGCAGCTCCAGGACCGTGAGCCCCCTGGTGCCAACGAGCGCCACATGGTGCTGCGTGGGGCTCAGCAGGGTCTGGTACACCTCGAACAGTGGTGGGTTTATGCACAGCAGCGTCTGAGGAGAGAAACGGGGGTCAGTCAGTGCCAGAGGGGGGTCTGTGCTGGGTGGGGGTGTCTGTCAGTCAGTCAGTGCTGGGTGGGGGTGCCCACCTCACAAACAACCTCCTCGTCTCACCTTCCAACCCATGCCCCTCTACGTACCTCAAAGCCCCCCCACTCCACCTCACAGCCCCACTCCCAGCCTCAAGGACCCACCCTTCAGCCTCACAGCCCCTCTTCCCACCCCACAGACCCCTCAATTCCCTTCCCACCCTAACACCCCCCACCCCTCACAGAACCCCTCTCCCCTGATAACCCCAAATCCCCCTCCCAACCCCACAGCCCCCCCCTCACCTCAGGGACCCCCCCCACCCATATTTCAACCCTCCCTCACCCCACAGACCCCTCAACCCCCTTTTTCACCTCAAAACCCCCCTCACACCTCACAGACCCCCCCCTCCCCGGCCTCCCCGACCCCTCACCCCCCCCCTCCCCTCAAACCCCCCCAAACACCTCAGAGACCCCCCCCACCTCACACCCCCCCTCCCCACCTGATAATCGCTCAGCCCCGGCTCGGGGCCACCGAGGCGGCGGAGGCTGACGGCGTGCAGGGCGCTGCAGTCCCCGTCCCACAGCAGCAGGTCCCCGTCCAGCCCCAGCAGCAGGTTGCGGCTCAGCGCCGCCCTGGGACCGGCCCCGGGCCGTGAGGGGCCGGCGGCGGCCGCGCGCTCGCGGAGGCGTCCGAGCACTGCGTGCTGCGGCAGGGCCGCGCGCCACTGCTCCGCCGGGCCCCACTCGGCCGCCATCGCCCCGCGCACGCAGCCGCCTCCCTCCCCTCCGCCGCCTCGCAGCCAATCGGCGCCGCCACCGCCCCCCGTGACGTCAGCGCGCGCCGCCGCTCCGGACTACAAGTCCCGGCGTGCCGCGCGGCGGCGGGCAGAGTGAGGCGGGCGGCGGGCGGTGATGGAGGAGCCGCTGCGCGGGCACCGCGAGCTGTACAAGGCGCCGGGCCTGGCAGCGCCGCACTGGAAGGAGGCGTACCGCCGGGTGGGTGAGCGCTCACGGGGGTACCGCGGGGCCCTCCCCGCCCCTCACGGGTCCCTCGGGCGCTGCCTGACGCCCCCTCCCTGTGCTCCGCTCCCCCCCGCAGCGCTGCGCTGAGAGGCTGAGGAGCGGCCGCGCCAAGCTGCTGGAGCGCTACCGCCGGGCCGGGGATGGGGGCGGCACCGGGCCGGGGGCGCTGCTGGTGCCGGAGGTGATGGAGATGGAGTGGCGCAGCCTGCAGGCGGCCAGGCGAGGCGACGCGGCGCAGGTCAGTGCTTGGGGTCAGCCCCTCTCGGCCCCCCCCCCCCCTCCCCGACCTCCTCTGGTATTTCTTGACCTTGCCCCAGTGGGGCCGGAGCCGCCTCCCGCAGGGTGGTGAGTTCGGGGGGCTGCTCCGGGCCCGCTGGGGCGGTCTGTGGTGTGTCCGGCTTTCCCCACTGCATGTCTGTGCAAATAGAGGCTTACCAACCAGGAAACTGAGCAGAGTGGACTTCCACTCACAGCAACGGGTGGAAGAAGTGAGAATGTGGGGTGGAAGCAACGGGTGGAAGTTATATGAGAATGTGGGCACTATGGGAGAACTACTGACTGCTGTGCCTTTCAGATGCTAGAGGACCCCTATGAGCTAGCTGTGCTGGATGAAATCCAACAGGAGTTGATCTTGCAAGGTAACTTCTCAGCACATCTTCTGGCTCCTGTTTGAGTTGCACAACTCCTTTCTGGTAGTTCCTTGAGACTGCACTTTTCAGTTCTCATAGACCACGTGACAGAGGGGAAGAGCTGCCTTAGAAGTCTCTGTAGCCTCTCTAATGCACTGAGACCTTGTTGGAGAGCTCTAAGAGTTACACAGCATTCTAAAGACTGTGAGGAACTATCAAGAGGCTAGCAGAGACAGCACTGTGGCGGCTGCGACCTGTAGGTGCCTGTATAAATAAACTCAGAATACTTCTAAATGGTTGGCTGGAAAGTGTTACAGTCACCTAGTTGAGATCAGATAAAGGATGAACCATAGGAAAAAACAGGCTAACAACAACAGCTGCCTCAAGCATAGAAATCTGATGCAAAGAAAGAAAAGTTCAGAACAGCCAGCAGCTACGTGCATGCGTCACTGCTGTCAAGAGTTTGTTACAGACACCTGAGGATATATACACGTATATCTCTTTCAGAACAACTGGTTATAGAAGAGTATGAGCGAAGTCTGCAGTTTGATGAAGAATGTCTCAATGCAATGCTCGATGGCTTGGATGCCAGCAACAAGATCATCTGCCCGGTGTGCAGAAAGTAAGAAAGCCCTCAGCATTGGAGCAAAATTCTGCACTCCTACAGCAGTTTGTGCTCAGAAACAGGCAAATAGCAGTAGGCAAACAGGCTGCTCTTGGTGTGAATTTCAACAAAACAGAAAAACGAGCAATGTTCTGGCTGTTCAGGTGCTCACTGTACGCTCTTTCTAGGAACACCCTGACTGTGAGTTGTCACTCCATTTTCTGCCAGTGTGGCTTGTACATCCTCACACGGGTAAGCTGTGCTGGGAGTGATGTCTTAAGTCTGCTGCAAAGAGGCAGCTTTAAGTAAGCTACAGACAAGAACTTACGTATAAAATCTATTCTTAACCCATTTTTTCCAGGGTATGACGGAACAGAAGCTTCGGGCACTTCTAGAAAACACTTTAACAGAACACAGCTACAGGTGTTTGCACAACCCGGAGTTCACAGTTACCGGTGGGATGGAGGAGGAAATGAGTCTCCTCATGACCTGTCCGGTGAGTCAAGTGTCAGGCTCCTGTCTGACACCACGCCTTTCTGCCTGGGTCCATTTCTTGATTGCAAGGGTAGCCACAAGTCCAGTGATCCTGGGAGTTGTGTTGCTGTTGTCCCCCCAAACTTTCTTGGAAGTGGTTTTACATCTGACCACCAGTAACTGTAAAAGAGCTGCCTACCACAGCTTACCTTCCCTGCTGAATTAGGGGACCTTTCAACAAGGCTCCCTCTAGCTCAAGCTCACGACTTCTTACAGCTCTGCTGCAGAAGTTGAATCCCTGTGCACACAGCATGTGTACCTGCATGGTGGGCACAGGGTTAGGAGCAGAGCATTTCAAATGGTTTTGAACGTTAGTAACTGGCTTTGTACGTTACCATAGCTTGTCTAACTTAACCTTACCTTCTGTAAAGGTCTGTGACTCCTGGACAGTTCTCCTGTAGGCTGTTTCAGCTGCTGCTTTTTCACTGGAAGGACTTCAAGAATAATAACCCACTCAGAGCTGCTACTATCTCTTAATGTATACACTTGTATGTGCTGTGTCAAAATACTTAACAAGGCAGTGCTACTGCCTTAACCTGCACTTTTGATGGCACAGCACATGTTTTATAATAAATGTACTTATTTTCAGGCTTCTTGTCATTTTTAACGGTGGTGTTTTCATTGGTGATCTCACAGCTTGCATGGGACTTGAGGTTCAGGTTTTGGTTGGTAACAGCATTTTTGCTGTATCCTTTTGTTGTAAGGAACAGGTAACTGCCTACAGGCTTAACTGTGGTTGTATACTTCACCCTGGACTATTGAAATATTTCATTGGAACAGCTTCTGTAAAATATGCAGTTTCTAACTAAATATCTGTGGGGACTTATCCACCCAGGGAGGAATGGATTCTGATTGCTGCTTATCCTTGCTAGGCTTCCCCTTTGCCTTGTCTTCTCCAGTGTACCAAAACTCAGTTCTGTCTGAGTCAAAGTTTCCTCTAAGACAATGGGGTTGCAAAGATAAAACTTCTTGAATGTGACATCTATTTAGATGTTGTTGTAAGTAGCAAAGACAAGTGTGTTTGCTAATCTAAGTACGTAACTTGGATACATGTATTTTGAGGCAAAAACTATCAAAACCCTGTAACCAAGGCTGGCTGATAGGTGAGGGGGGATGGCTTACCTGCAAGGCTTCATTTTGGGGTAGGAGGGACCTTTAAAGGGATGTTTAGTTCAGCCCTATTCCACAGGCATATGCCCTAGAGTAGCTTGCTCACAGCCCCACCACCCTCATAGGGAAGAACTTCTTCCATAAGTCTCCCCTCTTCCCATTCAAAGGCTTCCTGATAAAGAACCTCCCCCGTCTCTCCTGTAGCCCTCTTTAGATCCTGTGACGCTGCTGTAAGGTCAGGGAGCTGTCCCTTTTCCAGGCTGACCAACCCCAGCTCCCAGCCCCTCTCCATAGCTGACCAGCCCCATGCCCTCCTCTGGCCTTGCTCTGGCAGCTCCCTGGCCTTGTGGGGGGGAGTGGAAGGCAGTGCTCCTGTGGGGGGGTCTCACAGGAGTGGTACAGGGGGCAGAATCACCTCCCAGCATGACCAGAACCCTGCTCCTACAGCCAAGGTGCCCAGGCAGGTCCTGCCCCTTCCTTTCCACTTACCAGAAACTTGGTTCTTTTTCAGCCACCCCTCCTTCCTCCCCAGCCTCCCGCACAGCTCTGCTGAGCCTTACCAGCTGAGCAACACCCTTCCAGCCTAAAAGGTAATCCTGGACAAAAGTAACAAGAAACAACCCCTGGAGAGGTACAAGTCAGGTGCCATCAGGTGTTCTGACAGTCTCTTATCATTTTGTTCATGGATGTGCTCAAGCCTAATTAGAAGCAGCTCTTCACTGCACTGCCAGCTGGCGTGGACATGGCAGAGCACCTTCTGCAGTTCTGCTCTGCCAGAAGGACTTCCTGGGACCTTGAGGCAACAACTGGAGACACCAGTTTGAGCAGAAGGCCACAGCTGCTGCCCTGCAGCAATGCTTTTGCCATGAGCAGCCACAGAATTTGAATCATTCTGCTGGAACTGAAGCATTCCAACCTTCCTGTGGTATTTTTCTGCAGCAGATGTATTAATACTGATCTAGCAGGTTATTGCAGCACGTTCCTGTTTGAAACAACTCAAAGTCAGTGTTTGAGAGCCTGAATTCTGCTCTACAGCACAGGCAGCCAAGACTTCAGTCATACCCCACCATAACCGAGATTTACAAACATCGTTAGCGCAGCTTGGCCAGCAAAATTCCTCCTACAGCCACAACTATGCTGGCAGAAAGGCACGCTGTGTGTTTGAAGGTGCTGGAGTAGCTCTCCTTGGAGAAAACAGGGACAGCACGCACCAGCTCTGCAGGAAGCTTTATTAACACCATCATGGGCCTGGACACACGAACATCATCATTATGGCAACTCTCTGGTCAGCACAAAGAAGAGAGACCACCCCTTTTCAGTGACTCGTTGAACAGACTTTATTCTTCACATTCATTCTTAATTGTATGAAAACCACCAGGCAGGGTGAGGCAATTCTACACAGTAATGTTTGAGAACTTGATCTGGGCAGCAACATAAATACAAAACCCAAAATACAAGTGAGATTCCTCACTCTCCCATGATGCGCACTTCCAAACTCAAAGGTACTTACTCTCCGTAGCTGTCGTGAAGATACATTTGGGCGTTATTGCTGGCTGGAGCACTGCAGTGTAATGCCCACAGCTGAAGATTAGTTTCCTAGCCTAACTTACTGACATTTGACAAAGCTTTTAAGGTCTTCCAGGAATTTAATGTACTCCTGGTGCTCCAGTGCAGTGCTGAGCTCAATTAACTCATCAGCAAACGCGTTGTCCACTCCTCGGTCAGCCAGGAAATCCATCAGGTGATCATACAGAGCCTGCAAAAGAGCGACAGAAAACGTCCTTAGCAGAGCACACCTGGATACGGGTTGCTGTTGGAATGTCCCAACAGGCAGGGAGACCTCTGCCACCTCCCCATCCCCTCCTCAGCAGGGTGAGAGGCCTGGAGGAAGGGCACAA